TAGCTGAGATGCACTTCACTTATCATAGCTTGTCCATGTTGTTGCACAACACAGACATATCTACCCATCAAGAATACCTTAATCTTTATAGACAGTTGTAGCCCTTCTGGCACAACAATCTGCCATTTAACATAATTTTGTCTTTTGTAATAATAAAAACGTAATTAAATAGAAACAATTTAAATAATCCTTTGTTCAAGACTAATATAAGGTGCAATTATTGAAATTATCACCTATTAAATAATTTCATAAAAGTAATGGTTTTTTTGGTTGTATTCTGTTTAATAAAATAGCCACCCAAACGCGATTTGCTTGAGAACCAAAATTCATCAAATGGCACTCGTTCAAATTCATGCTATTTGAATCTATTAATAAAGCGATTAAATGTATATTAACAACCATTTAAACATACTAAAGTAAAAATGTACGATTATCTCGCATATCGTGTGAATGAATCACTCTTGATCATAGTGTATTCAATCACACCCATGATGGTCGTAATAAGAGATGTTATCTTTGTCCAAATAAAACCAAATCAATAACAAGCATATTCAAATATGACAACTATGCCCTGCTGCCATAGTTGCACAATATCCCAGATAAAGGGCTCCACACTTCAGTAACAAACATTACACTTTAAACTGTCAAGGTTGCTGTGGAACCTGAGGTTTTTAGAAGTCTAAATTCACGGAAAACAGAATAAAAAAAATAATAAAGTCAACTTGATAAAGATAGGTTTTATTATCGAACTGACAAGTGTAGAATAAGCTGAAGTCTCTCTACTGGCCAGGTAGATGATTCTTCTTATATACTATAACAATGGATAAAAGTTCTATTAATTCGATTAAAAAATAAGTCAACTCAGATCAACTAATGTCTAATCATGCTAAAAGACAACTCCAGCAAGCTAATCATGATTTAGCTCTATCTGGATGAATAATTAGACCCTCATCCGAAGTACCCTGATCTATTATCCTTTCTATAAGGATAATTAATATCGATCTAGTAGTAGTATGTATCCGATAGGTACAGTCTCCTTAGTCTATATCAATAGTACATATCTGAGTGTATATCGCTAAGCATACATCTTTAGCATGTATCTGGATATATGGCATGTCTATTATAGCATATCGTATGCATGTCTATAGCATGCCTCATATATAGTACAAGTCTGTAGTACATAAAGTATTTGTAGCTAGTATCACAGATATAAGCATGTGTCTTATAGCGTGGATCATGAAGTGCACATCTGAAGCAACAAGCTTGCAGTGAAATCAGGTTTGAATAGATTTCACAAAAAAAAAGTAATAGTAAAATACAAGAGTATTTATACATTTGCAACTAGCTTGTAGGATTAGTGATGGTAGAGAGCAATAGGTGCTGCTATTGTGATATCTGGCAAATGTTGTTGATGTTTGATTTAAAGTGGTAATCAATGCAAGAGCACTGGCCATAAGGTTCGACTTGAGTAACCTTGATGGGCTTGGGTGAGCTATCGTCATAGCATAATTTAATGTAACCTTGATGGTTTAAAGTGTGATGTTTGTTATTGAAGTATGGAATCCTTTATCTGGGATATTGTGCAACTATGGCAGCAGGGCATAGTTGTCATATTTGAATATGCTTGTTATTGATTTGATTCTTTTTGGATAAAGATACCATCACTTATTACGACCATCATGGTTGTGATTGAATACACTGTGATCAGGAGTGATTCATTCACACGATGTGCGATATAAGCGTGTATCTTTACTCTAGTATGTTTAAATGGTTGTTGGTGTACATTTGAGCGATTTTATTAATAGATCCAAAGAGCATGAATTTGAATGAGTGCTATTTGATGAATTTTGGTTTTCAATCAAGTTGCGTTTGGGTGGCTATTTCATTACACTATTATACCTGATTTCACTGCATTTTGTAGGGGAAATCATATAATAATAGACACTACAGCAGTACACGAGATGCAGGAAAACGCCTGCTTTATACGGCAATCGACATTGAAGATGCTATTTTTAAGTGGGGGAATATACATACTTTAAATTGGAAGACTTATTATAATCGAACAAAGCAAGCTACAACTGTCTAGTCTTAAAAGCATGATTCTTCATCATGTCAAGTATCTATTGGTAAATTGAAACTAGCAAGTTAATATGGCCCTTTTCTTACGCTCCGATTTTTAAAATGCTTGGTCAAATGCAGACTTGTGTGGTGTACACATGCGGAAGGTCAACGGAGATTCAATATCTAATATTCTGTATGATGATCCATGGGATTACAAAATCTATCGACTTTAAAATTACGCGTTTCTTGATAATAACCACCCCTTCAAACTTATATAAAACTTGTAGAGAATTCAAAGGAGAATACAATGGTGTTTATATCAAGTGTTTGCTGTACATTGTTCAGCTGATATCTGATAAGTTAAATTTTGCAACTTTTTCACTGTTTTCGAAAGATTAATCAGTACCTGTCATCAGAACATTTTGTTGAGCATTACTAAACGTTGTAGACCAAAAAGTTTCCTATCGAATGAGCTATTGCCTGAAGCTCTGGCATAACTCTATCATGAAATATTGACAATATTTTCCTGATCAAAAAAAGGTCACCAAATATTTTCCTTGCTACCACAGGCAGATTTTGAAAAAAAATCGATGATTTTGCATGATACCCTTTTTTGAACATATCTCGACAAATACTCATTGGATTCACACAAGATAAATGCCAATCAGTAGTTCTAACGTCTTGTGAGGGTTTTGGGTGCTAAATGTGCGTTCTCTTTATGAATTTGCTCAAAATCTATACTTTAAGAGCTACAAGCAGGGGATATTTAAGACTCCTAAGATCAATCTATAATAACCATACCGTCCTATAGAGAATTGAAAAAGAAACAAAACCTACTACGCTCGAAGCTCTCGTTCACTTAGTAAAATCTAGCGGTACGGCGCTTTGGAAATTAATCACTTCTACTATTTTCCATATTACTCATCAACATCGTTTTCAGTAATCCCAAGTCAAACATGCCTCAGTCAAGCAGGATACCGTCTGAAATTGTTACTGAATCCGCGCCTAACACTTCATCTCTTCAAGGAAGCTAACCACAAAGAACTCGGATGCCACAGCATTGGAAATGATAATCTGGTCAATACTGACATGTTCCACAACCTATTGCATAGCACTTAAGTTTTAATGGTTTTACAAAGTAAGACGTAAAGCAATAGTAGATTACTGTCAATAGAAATCAATGTGTATTAACTGTATGTAAAACGAAAAGATCCAATATTTCAGTACCAAAAGAAGAGTCTTTAATTACACATTTGAATTTAGCTTACAGCGTTAGAGATGATAGAATGCGATAGGTGCTGCTACTGCGACGTCTGGCGAATGTTGTTGACGTTTGATTAGAGAGGAAATAAATTCAAAGGCACCGACTACAATAAGAATCAATCTAAGTAACCCTAGCCAGGCTTGGATAAGCTATTATAACAATCAGAGCAGTTGTAACGCAACATTTAAAATTGAAGGTGTGATATTAGTTATTGTAAGTTGTTTATCCTCTTCTAAAATGCTATGCAATTGTGATATCTAGGTATTGTTCACAAACTCAAATGTTTTTTACTGAATTGTTTTCATTGGGACATGAAGAGTGTCCATTCTGAAGAATATTACAGGTGTGATTATACACTTTTCTTTCAAAATTATACAAAATTTTATGGAGTTGTAATAAAAAAATTGATTGTAAAAACTTAGTAACATAATAATTACATCAAATCCACGTTGTAATTACCATTGTTGTATCCTTTGGACGAAGAGCGATGACCTTTGAGGCTGAATTATATCATTTCTTCTCGATGGAGACGAAATTATGGGGGAGGGGGGATACCTTGACCAGCACGGACTGATGTTAAAATTTGAAGGACCATATTGAGACATTCAAACAGATCAGGATTCCACAATCTGTAAACTGCGCCTTATGGAATATCATGGGCTGGATGGTTACGGTTTGTGCATCTAATTGATAGTATCAGTGAATCTATCAAACATAGTTCAATAGCCTATAGATACCTTAAAAGTCCATGTCTTGTCACGAAAGTACTGTATCTACGCTACTGTGGTCTGCGACGTCGAGGAATCGTTCTTGCAGCTTGCTGATTAACTCCTTGTCTGCTTGATCTCGATTGAGCTAGGCAGATAATTTGAGTTTTCGGTGCAAAGCGCACTGACTCTCGTTGGCGTCTACCATTGTTAAATCATCGCCCTCAATTTACTGTATGGCATGTTCTTGGTAGCTCTGCTAATCAGGCTTGTTTCGTGCAACACCCTCAATAAAAACACAACAAACTTTGTCAAGTAGCCTCTTTCGAAATGCAGTCAAGGTAGCAATTTGCTTCTCAGGGGCGAATATTGCAAGCTCTTTTATCTTAAAAATCAAATACTTGAAGGTGTCCTGCAGCATTTAAACACTCTTTACTTTAAGAAGACTGGTGAACAGTTGAATAGTTTTATAGCTCTTCTCATTCGATCCTTTATTTATCTTGACGATTTTGGTAGCAAGCATCATTTCATTGTACCATTTAAATATACAGGCTTTCTCGCCACAAGCAAGGTTTGTCATATTTAAATTTTAGTGAGTCCAAGTAAAAGCTGAATGAGATATACAGTAAGTATAACATTGTTGTATTTAGGTCAATGGCCATTTCGACATATGTATTATGTATACACGTGAAACGTGTCTATATAACTGTGATCAAGAGTGATCTATTTACCCGGTATACGGGACAAAAAAAACGTATCTTTCCTCTAGTGTGCTTAAGTGAATGTTCATGTACCTTTTAGTGCTACATTATTGGAAATTGTTATAAGCAGTGTATCAATTTTCAGTAGGTCGCTATTTTCCACAGCAACAATGCTGAATTAATTCGGATGAAGTCCCATCTCGTTTTGTTTACTTTGGTTCCAGCCAAAGATTTTTTCGTCTTCTTTTCTTTGCATTAATTATACTCATGAGCTCACAGTCTACGATAATCACAGGACAAGTTCGCCTTCGACGCAAATTATGCAAAACACTCTTCTTTATTGACATTCAGCCCGACAATGAACCCAAATCTCAAGTTTTCTTTCGAACAGATGACGGCAGTTTAGATATTGTTGATTTTCAAGAATCATTTCGTGCTTGTCGACCAGGATCTATCATTACGGTGCAAGTGTTTCCACCCAATGATCCGAGCGAGCAAGAAGGTAGATCGCATACTGTGTGGCAATGCAGTCATCCAGTCGACGTAGTGGTGCCTTATACCAGCCGTATTGCGTTCATTCAGGATCGAGCATTAGGAGGCTCCTCTGTCCGTAGAGACATAGTAGAGATAAAATCAGCAAATAGACATGAATCAACGCCCTGCAAATATTGGATCAACAAGAATAAGTGCGAACGTGGAGATGATTGCCCATTTCAGCATCCCACCGCCGAAGTATTTGAGAAAATTCGAGTGGAATGGTTAGAGGAGGTGAGTATGACAGTAATACCAACAGCTGTTTTCGCTAACCAAGCTCACCTTTACACAGAGAGAAAAGAACCGTAAAATGGCAACGCATGATCCAGAGGACCCTCATACATCGAAAAAACCACACGGTTTACGGGCGATAATATTTGTCGAATGGATAAGACGAACATTTGCAGATCAGTTAAAGAATGGCGGTGCTGTACTAGACGTAGCAGGAGGAAAAGGAGAAATATCCATGGTGCTGAGCCGTGGATTTGGTATTCCCACTATTGTAGTAGAGCCCAAAACTCGTAAACTCCCCAATTATTGGTTTACTCGCCTTCGTCGATTGATGTTGCGCTTCGAAGCAGGTCATGAGCCAGACTGGAAAAGCAAAGAAGTGCAATTGGCTTTGCAGCATTGGCCGTGCGATGTAGCCCCCACTTACCAACACACCATGCTCAATGATCAATTTTTGGAGGACCATGTTGAATTGCTCAAAACTGTGTCATTATTCGTTGGATTGCATTCGGATCAGGCGACCATACCCATTGTCGATGCAGCACTAAAAGCAGGCAAAGCATTTGCAGTCGTGCCCTGCTGTGTGTTTAGTCATGATAACCGATCTCGACAGTTACGAAATGGGGAGCTGGTCACCACGACAGAGCAACAGATACAATATATACTAGAAAAAGATACCCATGGACATGGAGGGCAGATACAGACAGATTACCTGGATTTTGAAGGAAAGAACAGAGTGGTTTATTGGATCCCTGATAAATAAATGTGCACTACAGATGGCTTTTTGGTGTCGATGTATATGGCCAGCCATGGATAGCGTCAGTGAGTTTGTCTGCAGTAGCGTTGACTTTGCTTTCATCTTGACCTGATACAGTAACAATGACCTTGATCTTGTCATTGTTCCACATTGGATAGCTTCCAATTTTAACATCTTGCGTATGCAGATCGGATAGAATGCTAGCAATGCTGACCTCAGGCAACGCTGTTGCTATTTCCCGTCTATGAAAGCCAGTTGACTGCGACATGGCTTGTAGTTTTGGTTTGAGCGAGTTGAGCAATAGCTTAAACAGGCTGGGTATGCCTGGTAAAATGTAGACATTGTCATGCACTACAACAATAGGGACCTTGATGTTGGGTAGCTCTCGCAAAAGAGTAGCAGGATGAGGAAATGTAGCCATTCTTGCATGAAATTTAGTCATGACTGTATTTGGATTTCGCTTTGTCAGTTGCTTTTGTATATAATCGTATGTCTCTTGATCCACCTTCATGTCTAATCGGAATGCTGCTGCTATGGACTCGTACGTGATGTCGTCATGTGTAGGTCCAATACCGCCACTGGTAAATACAATATCATATTGGCTCGACAGATCTCTGACGGATCTAACAATGTCGTGTGTTTCATCGCCTACCACTTGGATGGTTTTGAGCTCAATGCCCAAGCCAAACAGCATAGTCGCTAATAGTTATAGTTACTACCAATACTTCAAACCAGCAACAGCTTCATACTACCTAGGTAATGCGAGTTTGTGTCTTTTGTTTTGCCTGATAGTATTTCATCGCCTATAATACAGCAAGCAGCAGTTACCACCATGGTTTTTAATGATGAGAAAAAAGCGAGAGAAGAAGGTCCCAAATATATAAAATGGCATTACAAATCAAATATTTATAGAAAATCCCATTTTCAGGCACAAGGCACGCACCTTTTTTTGATGTCAAAAGATAAAGCCTTATTTCAGATGCTGTTGGATCGGATACAACCACAAGGCATCTTTTGGTTTTTTTTATCAAATGTTTATTAGATACAAAAGTATTGGATTAAGATTTATGTATATATGGAATCATAAAAGCAAAATATGGTAATTGTAGAGAGTATACATGTAATTTTGGGCGCTAGTATTGGTGCAAGTGTGAAAATGTGAGATTGCAGTGGGGATCAAGCTTATTGGGATGGACCAGAGTGATGGTGTCCCTCACTATCAAAATCAGCAGCGCGGCCTCTACCTCTTCCACGACCTCGAAAACCACCACCGACACTTCTGCTTCTTCCTCCACCCGATCCGCCGCCTCTGAATTTGCCACCACGGCTACTGCCGCGATAACCTCCTCGATAAGATGATCCTCTGCCTCTACTATTGTTTATGTCCTCTATACCTCTTCTTCTCCAGTTGTCATTTGTTTCAGAGTTATAAGATTCTTGCTGCTGTTCTTTGGTATCAATGAGTCTGGGAGAAAGAGGGAGCGTACTGGCTTGTTGGTGTGGTTGGAGTTGCTGCTGTACATCTGTTTCAGTAGGCTTTTGCTGTTGTTGTTCATCTGGTGTGGATGCCCAATTATTGTCAGCATCATCATTGGTGGCGCTAGTTTCTATAGACACATGCTTAATCTATCACTTGTCGGTAATAAACTCATAGGATCACTTACCAACATTATCCCAAGTGTCAGCTTTGACAGCATTATCAACCACATTACTCCATCCTCGACTTTCATTCACATTCCAATCCGCAGGCTCTTTGGGCTCGGTAGAAAATCTATTGTTTGACTTCCAGCTGGATTTGGCAGACGATCTAGAGGATTTGCGATGATGTGATGTTTCTGTCCACTCTTTGCTGACTGCTCGTGTCTCAGACTTTTCCTTTTCCTCCCAGGCACTGGTACCTGATCCAACATTGCCGTTCTTACTCCATTCGTCCACGACGGGTGCTTCGAGTACTTGTGTCTTGCTCCAGTCATTAGCCGCTGATGTTTCACTGACGTCCTTTTTGTCCCATTCACTAACAGCAGAAGCTTCATTGTTGTCCTTTGCGTTCAGTTCATCGGCAGTGGGTGAAGACTGAATTTCTGCGGAGGGTTTCTGGTCCACAGGCTCATTTGATGCCTGATGCGCTGGCCCTTGTTGTGAGGCTTCCGCCTTTGTCTCTGATGCAGGCTGCTGCTCCACCCCATCATTGTGTTCAGAACCAACTTCAGGTATGATCTCACCATTTTGAACCATATTCTCAAACTGAATCACAGCCCATTCTGTTGCAGCAGATTCGTCAATCAAAGTGTTCTCCAAAACTCGTGCTTCATTGACTGTATTATCCCAAATATGCTGAATCAAGTCCTTGATATCTTTGAAAGAGATATTTTCGAAAATAACGTCTTCAGAGCTCGTATCGAATTTCTTCAATATATCAGCTACTTGCTTGCGTTTTTGTGTTTTGATAGCAGATGATGGCTCTGTAGCATAATACACAGATGCGCCAATGAGTCGATCGCATACATCTGTAATGGCGTTAAGCATGGTTTTAGGGGAAGCTTCCATCTCAATGACATCAAACAATCCAAGTTGTCCTAATCGTACAATGTAGAAAAATTGTAAAAGAAAGAGAATCTGTGCTTCGTTCTTCTTGGTATTGTAGGCATCTTGGTATGAACGTACTTTGCTGACCATGGGTGGGTCATTCTATCACATTTGGAATGAGTTTTACACTGATATAACACACTCTACCAACCTACCAGCTTGGCTAATGTAGCTTGGTACTTTTGAAGGCAAGCAGTGGCAATGTCCTTTTGAAGTTGTTCTGCGGCATCCAGTTCTCTCTCTTTTTGAATCGCTTCAATGTGCTCCTATATAGTGTCAATGTCAGTTTCAGCCCAATGTTGTCGCAGCAGCGGCATGAGTAGCAAAGCTCTTACTATTTCTTCTGCAAGTGTGCAGATTTCAGCTTGAATCAATTCAATATGAGGATGAATCATATTGTTGTTTGTCTTCTTTTTGTTGTTGGGCTTTCTAGAGCTTTTTGATTTAACCATAGTATTGTTGGCAGTGTTATTAGAAAGCTTAAGATGAATGAAATGCAGCGAAATTATTTACAACGCGTTTACGTTTTTAGTGCTCTTTTTTTTTTTTTTTTTTAATTATTTGTAATGCAGTGAAATTGGAGGCCTCACAATGAATTTGCAGGTGACTACTGTGCTGCCGCCAGTGGATTCCATTGTTCAAGTGTCAACCAATATTTGTCTGCATAGTAAGCATCATAATGGCACAATTATGAGGCACTTGATAAAGGGCAAACTAACCCTTTTCATTGTACGTTCTCTTTGTTTTCTTGTCATTAGTAGAAATTGATCATTTCGCATCATCCAAATGCTGGATGTCAAAATTTACCTGAGGATGCTTATCTTTTACCACAGACAGCAGTAGATTGAAGTGGACATTGCACGCGCTAAAAGGTTGAGATTTTAGTCAGCTTCATCGAATACCAACACATACTGTATATTATGTAATTTGCCCTGAGGTCTCTTATGATCTCGTTACATTTCTAACATTAATGTGATGGCGCAATCTGGAGTTGACGGGAGACAATGTTAAATTCTGATCAAGCAGAAAACAAAATGGCAAACCGGGCTCTAAAATAGACTAGAGCAGCAAGTAGATTCAACCTTGATACTCGAGTCGATCTGGTGCATTGTGAGGGATCCATTCCAAAAGTCCTGATTGCGCAGAGGAACTTTGAGTAATGTGCAATGTTGGGTAGGATATGAAGCACATGCGCAATGTTTCTGCTTTGTAAAAAGAATCAATTCAAGGCCATCTTATCGAACATTTGGTATGATGACCTAATCTGAAATGTGGAGTCAATGATTTCAACGAAAATTAGGAAGTATCTTCCGCCCCTCCTTTGGTGTTGGAGGTTCATCATCATCCTTCGATGGAAGCGTCTAAGCCAAAAACAATCCCAACTATCTTCCAGCACTGGTCAGGGTAAGCATCTTATACCGTATCATTCCCAGCAGTTTGCTTTTCTGTAGCACCAAAATGCAATCTCTTGGTTTTTTTTTTTGAAATCTTGAGAAGGTAGAAACTTAAAAAAACGTTGTTTGAAAAAGTCCGGCTTCCATTTTTCTTTAGTATTTAATAGGATGGTACCACCTTTTATAAATAGGTTTCCCCTATCTCTTTTCTTCTTTATCACTTTTCACCTTCATTCCTTTTATATTCATAGCAACAACAAATGGCATACGCTTTAGATCATAGGAAGGGCCTTGTCATTGTAGCTGTCATCCTGCTGATTTCCACTCTAACTTACTTTGGTCATATTTACAATCTACATTCAACGACTATATCGTCTACTGATGCGAGCTATTTGTCCAATGAACAGACATTTTTCGACAATAATATGACAGCATTTGATCCCTCAATATTGCCCACACTAGAAACAAACTGCCAATGCGAACAGGCATCCGAAGAGCCCATGATTGAGCAAGAGCAAGGGCAAGAGCAACAGCAACAGCAAATTGAGATTCCAGACTTGTTACCTCCTCCACCAAAAGAATTAATGGACAAGATCAACAACAATATGCTTCAAGATCGAGTGCTCATTGTTGCTACAGCAAACTACGGTATGCGCAATCATGTCTATAACTGGATCGAGAGTATGAAAAAAACCGGCGAAGAAAAGTTCTTGATCTTTTGCTTTGATCAAAAGCTGTATGACCACCTCACATTGGCTGGATACAGCGACCGAGCATCTCTGATACCAGATGTCTGGTTCCATCAACAAGTGGAAGCTGACTTCAAGACCTACTTTAGCAAAGAATATCGCATCATTACACACTCCAAGACGCTGGTTGTGCAGCAATTGTTATATTTAGATGTTGCTGTATTTTTCACAGATGTTGACATTGTGTGGCTCAGACCCCGTCTGGTAGAATACGTCAATACACTCCTACAAATCCGACCAGAAACACATGTATTATTCCAGCAGGAAGGTTTCAATCAGCAAGAGATCAACAGTGGATTCTATTTGATGCGCCCAACGGTTGAAATGAAACGTTTGTTAGCAGAGACAATTCAGATTCAAGATTCAAACGATGCAAAGACTCAGCAAGGTGCCATGAATGCCGCCTTGGATCACCTCAATATGGACCTGAGAACTTCCTCGGTTGTCTTGCTGGATGTTTTACATTTCCCTAACGGATTCGTCTACTATGACCATGACCTCCCAAACAAGCATGGTATCAAGCCATTTATGGTTCATGCAAACTACTTGGTAATTTGCAATAGCTTAATTTTTTTAGGTTTATACAGGCACTAACACATTTACACTTTATAGGTGGGCGAAGATAAAAAGACAAAATTAATGGAGAGCAACTTTTGGTACGTGAATGATACTTGGCTGGACCAAATGGATGCCAAATTAGAAGCATCAATGGCCAAGAAGGCACTAAAAAAGAAGACCATAAACAAAAAGCCTGCCTCCCTATCGCCATCCAGCAACGCCAGCAACAAATCAACATCAAAGCACCACAAGTAATATCACTCTCTAATACACTTAATTATTCTCAATACATTCCACCCTATATAGCATGACACCCCCTCCATCTACTAGTACGATATATTTCCCTTTCTCATCTTCTTAATATCTGTAAATTATATATAAAAAAAAACCTTCTTATGCTTCTCAATTCAACACACTTTGTTGTTGTTAACCTTCAAAATGACGCAATTTACCAGGGCGAAAAGAACCAGAAAGTAATTCTACCTTTCTTCATCTAGTTACACTCACTTTTTTCTGGAATTTTTATTTCCTATTATCCATTTTCAAAAGTTTATACTGTTTTGAAGTTGTATTAATAGACATTTTGTATATAAACATTGCAAAATTAACCCGGAACCGGGATTGATTTTACTATGAGTGAGTTGTTTCGCATAGCGGAAGCTTCCATTTCACCAAATCCTTGCGAGTGGGCATGAGATGATGTGTAGTAGGCGCGGTATCATTTAAATGCCACATGTACACTTTATCTTGTAGCCTTAAAAACTGGCACAGATGGCACCGAGATAAAATAGACTTTCAATGCGTGTGTAAATGTTCAATTACATGACATGTGGTCTCTATTCATTTTCTACTATATTGTATGCCACAAACTATACATTGCAATTACATCGTGTAACACCTCAATCACACTGTAGATACGGAATCTCTGAATTCTTCTCTCAAGTCTGCTATTGAAAAGGTATCCTACATACTAGGTTCATTGATACAGTATGTCTCTTTGTTTGTGCATGTTTATTACTTTGAAAACATACCGAGAGCCACCTTTTGTCTTGATAATGGAAAGCATTATATAATTTTCTACTAGATTACTCAATTTAGAGCTTTAAACTTTAAAATCAAGAAGCCAAGATAATTTTTTATTATTGTGTAATCCAATCTTGGTTTTCTTTTCAAACGCATTCATTTATCCGTTAATAATTTGCACTAAGAATCTCCAATAAGGTTGACTTGATTGCGTTTAATCATTTGGAGCCAAGAAATCTACATGGGATTTGGGATTATCTTCGAGCTCAACCGCATGGCCCTTAATATGTTGTATCATGTAGATGTATCCAGCTAATTTGGCCGTATCACGCGCTATTGTGAAACCTGATACAATGTTTACTTCTCGTTTTGGGCTGTCATTTTCTTGATCTTTGGGGAACAGTAGACCCGGTCATTTATTAGAGCAATCTTAAACCTCGTCGTTTCAAAGGAGTTTCAAGAGCCTTTTCGTAAAGATCACATTAAAGCCATAGCATAGCTTGCATCGAAGGCATTATGTTGAGCCAAAATGTTTTAGACAATAAGCTTAATTCTTTTCATGCTATCAAATCCGTCTTTTCTAGCTCTCTGTCAAGAAATCTTATTATAAACTCGTACCTGAATTTGCACACTAGTCCCCAGTTTTAGTATCATGAAAGCTATTTCATTAACGCAAATGATACGCACTAATTTGATCTACACAGTTTTAGCATTATCGTGTTTATGAGATGATGATATCAATTGTAGGACGATCAGCCAAGAGCAAATAAAACTAGACTGTAGCGTTTCAATATCAGAGGGTATCGGTTAATCGGTTGCTATTAGATTCTCAAGAAAATACCACAAAAATAACCCACCTCCAAAGACTTTTTTTTTTGTTTCAGGAAGGTTTGGATTTATTTTCTCAAATAGAAAAAAAAATGTATCAGAAGCATTGGAGTACGCTTAGTCCAGGTGATGGTGTTTTTCAAATAGTAATCCCCTTTTTAGTACTATTAAGAGCTTTTATTGTCTGAGTGATGAGGAGAAGGCATTGAAATTGGCTGGTGGTTGAATATTTTAAATAGCGCTCGATATTTTTTTTTTAAAAAAAATTGGTCGAATTCTGATTAAAATTGATTCAATTAATCTATTTTGCCAAATTCGACTATATAAATTGCGACAAACATCCCATACTTTCTAATACATTCTTGGATTACTTTTCAAGGCGCGTTCAATGGTGCTAATTAGAAGGTGTATTTTCAACAAACTTATTGAGTATTCCTCAAAAATATGAAATCCTTATTATGGCCAAAATGTCGAGATTTTGTATATAAAGGTTTCACAAACAAAGCTTTAGGGGTTGCTTTGGATCGGTAGGAACATTTTGATCTAGTATATACCATAGCAAAAGTCTTCATTTTCAAGGTGAAAAACACGATCGTCTGATTTTTGATGAAAACCATGAGGTATCCCTCATGCTTTTTTGGTCGATTTTGGTCGATTTTTGACGATCCCAAGAAAGTTGAGCAAATGCGTCAGAAAGCAAGTGCTGAATGAGAGCAATTGCTTGGTGCTTATCTGGTGGTTTAAAACGGCTTCTAACGCGAAAAAAAAAAACGACTCAAATATATCCAAGTCAGGCTGTGATTAGTATACTTTTAGGTATTAGGAGGCAATTCAAGTAGCTTTCGGCCTATATACACTCGATACGAATTAGTCACCGTAACTGAGTTCAATTTTTTTTTGGCATCAAATAATTCATTGATCTTTGACATCAAATCATCATTAATAAAACATCGTAAGGAGTACATGAAATTTGGATATATGATATTTACAATAGTATCTTATTTATATTCAATGCTTTTAGTAGCGTGTTGTTCCGCCTCTTGCATTTATTACAGCTTGACATCTAGATGGCATACTTGCAACTAATCTCTCCGCCAGATCAAGATCCAAGTTATTCCACTCCTCATGGATACGCGCAAGCAATTGTTCTGCATTATCAATGCGACGCCTCTTGCTCTCAATTCGCTTCTCCATGATGGCCCACAGATGTTCGATTGGATTCAAATTGGGGCTTTGAGCCGGCCAGAAGCTAAAACCGTTGACCAGTGGCTGATCCTCCTTCCAACTTGTAGAAATTCTACCTGTATGACAGGAAGCACCATCTTCTTGAAGAACGAAGTTGCCTTCCTCATTCTTCGTCACATCAGCTATCCATGGCAAGTAGCTCTTGTCCAAACACTCGATGTATCTGTCCTGATTTACTCGGCCATCAAGTGCTACTAACGGTCTGTAGCCTCCAGCCCAAAAGCATCCCCAAAGCATCACAGAGCCGCTTCCAAACTTCTTGGTTTTGATGATGTGGTAATCACTGTACCTTTTATCTTCTTTTCAGATCACCCTAGAGCCACCATCATTACCGAGAACCAGGAATTTGGACTCATCGGACCAAACAACCTTTCTCCACTGTTCTGGCCCCCATCCGACTTTGTCCAAGTACCAGGAGAGTCTTTTCAGCTTGTGCTCAGGTATCAATGCTGGTTTGTGTGCAGTCTTATATGATTGAAAGCCAATTAGCTTCATATACTTCCTGAGCGTATCCATTGAAATTGATGGGTTGGCGTCACACCATAACTTCAAATGGTTCTTCATTGGTAACAACGGTGCAGAGCGAAGCTGACGTGCGAGCCGTCTCTGATCTCTATTATCCATCTTCAATGGTGCTCCAGAACGTTTTGGAAGCAATCCGGTGCCTTTAGAGCCTGCCCTCTTGATCACGATGCTTACCGTAGACGGGGACAGGTTCATGGTCTTGCTGATCACACTTTCTTTGACACCTGCTCTGTGGCAGTTTACTATACCTCCAATTTGCCATTCTGAAAGACGAGATTTGGCTTGTCAATTGACCTGATCTTGGTGTATACTCATTTAAAATTTTAAACTAGGTTAAGTAGTGAGATCTATGATTTTAAAGCATTCAAACATTTATTGGGGTTTTTGAATTTCTTAAAAATAAAAACAAACAGTGACCATTTCGGTGACTAATTCGTATCGAGTGTATAAATTGTCCCAACGGATATAAAAGAGTAGCATTGTTGAAGAGTCAGATCAAAAGTTACAGGCTGCCTACAGGTAATTTTTATTAGACAGTCTTCATAACACCTGTCTTATCACATGCATAGATTCAGATGAAGCTACTTTAGATTGTGGTGTAGCATTTGGCACACGGCATTATCAATTTCTACAACACAAAAGCCGTGATGTCTTGCGAAACAGAGATGAGATATATGCTTGAAATAATAGCTCTTTCATTGTACTCGTTTGGAAATAAAAGAAGCATGGCTATTCAGAGCTACACCTAATTCTATATAGTACACAAATGGAGATAGCTTCTAATTTCGAAAATGATGTGATGGTGCCTGAATGTACATGTTTGTTGATTCAGGTACCAGCAATTAGGTCTTTCAGAGATAGGGAGTGCTTTATTTCTGAAATCAACGATAATCAAAGAGATAAATAAAGCATCGTAACAGATGTGAATATAAAAGAGATTGATTTTGATGGAGCAAAAAGATAGAGCAATTCTATTTCATATATACAAATACATTTTTTTTTATATAATACAACTAATCTAAATATACAGAATATAATACAATTTAGGCAGACATGATCTTGTTCTGAAGAGCAAGAGACTTTTCAATGGAATCACAGTAGTTTTGATACTTGATGATTTCATGCAAGAGGTAGTGAGATTTGTTTTCCCAGTTGGACATAGCCTTGACTCCTGAGGACTTGCAAGAAGCAAAACGGGTTTCCATCTTTGGCTTGATATCACGATGTTGGTCCAATTCAGCAGACAACTCCTGAACATGCTTGTGAAGAGTAGCCAATTGAGCAGACTCTTCTAATAAACTGCTCATGGTCGGGGGCACAGGTGCTTGCCATTCATGAACAATGACATTATCTTGAGATTCCAAACAGTGACCCCAACCATATTCCATGGAGCTGACACCACCAGCTAAAGGTTCCTTGCTTTCACGAGCAGCCCAGTAATTGCAAGTAGAGACCCATTCGTGCACTTGTTCCTCAGATCCAACTTGGAAGAGATAGACTGCTCCGCTAGATTGTTGGAGAGCGAAGGCATGTTGGCGTTGGCGACTGTAGCCAGATGGGAGAGCATTAGCAAGAGTGTGCTTGAGATCAATGGCGCCCATGAGTTGAGCATTGGACATCCAGTCACCACCACCAACGACTTCAGCAGTTGAGCTAGAGTCAGACAGCTGAGAAGCAGAATCAGACAAGTTGGAAGATTTGGACAAGAGAGTGTTGCGAATGAGGCTGCGCTTGGTGATGGTGCGAGATTCAGTAGCAGAAGAGTTATCCAGCTTGTACATACGGAGCTGACTACGTTCAATGACCATGAAACAATCCTTCCAATCACGGTGCTTTGCCTTTTGGTTGGTTTTTTCCAAAAGATGCTTGCGAACCACCATACCCTCTTTGTAGTAGGGCGCATTGCTGGTGTAGGCAGTAGGCAATTGGGTTTGGAGATGAGAAGCAACGGTTTGATATTGCAAGACAGAGCTAGATGATTGCACAGATGTGGTGGAGGGAGCGATAGAGTTGGACGCATCATTTTGCACTATGGAATCACGCTTCCAGATGATGGTACCTACACTGCGCTTGAAAGCAGCACTCATGCGGTTGTTGTTGTGCAAGGAAGCGGGAGGAGAGGAAGGATTGGTAATCTGACTATGGCGGATATTGGAATACATCTGCTTGAGCAAGTTCTTGACCTCGATTTGCCATGATTTAGAGCCAAAAGTCCAAGCAGGCAAGTTGCGAGGCATGGGTGAATCGAGCGATTGAGCATAAGCAGAAGATCTTGAGCTAAAAGCAGACTGATTGCTGGGGGTGCGTTGCAAAGGGATCCAATCAAGGGACTGGAAGGAAAGGCCGCTTGCTCTATGGTCATCAGAAAGCATGCTCTCTTCTTCCTTCTCTCCTAATGCAGGAGTATCCAATTGAGCATAGATGGCTTCCATCGTGTTCTTGACGAATTCAGATCGAGACATCTTCTTGTAATCGCCTTGAGCAACATGCAGATCGGTGTTTAAGAGCAACAGGGAATATACAATAGCGTGTACAACATCTGTGTGATGGGGGAGTTAGATTGAGTGATAAGATATTACAGTTGCAATCCATGCTATTTACCTGTTGTACCAAAAATACAGTTGGGATTGCACTCAAAGTAACGACCAGCGAATTCAGAGAGGATACGATCAATTTGTTGAGTTTCACCTTTGAGATGAAGTTTGGAGCACAAGTTGCGGAAAGCCTGTTCGAGCTTGAGCGTCTTGAAATCAAAGTGTGCCATGTAGGCTTTTAGGATGGCATTGCTTAACGATTTGCCGTTGCCAATCCATTCAACAACATGGCCTAAATTGGCGTAGACAGTGTCATCTTCGTCCCAGATGCGCTGAGCATATTCAATAGCAGAGTTATCAGTTTCGAAAACGGAAGAAGACATTGAAAGAGAGTCACTGGCGTTGGAAGCAGCAGCTTCTTGGTGAGGTAATTCCATTGTGTTGCAAGAAGCATTGTGACCGTCCATGATAGTGGCTTCTTGCTCTACCACTGATTCAGGGGCAGTGGAATCATTGTCGTACCAGACAATCTCTGTTGCTGCTGCTTTGACTGGCTCGGCTGTGTCTTTTTTCTTGATGATGGGGATGAAGGTGAGCTTGTACTGTGTCTTTTTGGTGGATAGTTTGCTGGCGTCTTTCTTGTGTGCCACCTTTTTAAAGAAACGGCCCAATGCCTAAATGCTAAAGTTAGTGCCCAATGCTCTTTATACTATGACATTGTGTACTGTTACCTTGGCTTTGGATGATTTGGTTTTGACGGGCTCTTCGTTGAGGAAGGGAAGAGCAGCTTCCTTTTGAGCTACTGTCAACTTGGCAGGGGTTGTGATTGGAATGTGTTTTGGTGATGATGATTTGATGGGAGCGACTGTATTTGAAGAAGGCTTGAGCTTCTTTAGTAATTGGGATGTCTTATCCATGTTGATGTATGTGCAAGGAATTTGGTTGGATGACTGAGATGCTGAAGATTGCATTAAAAAGTGAATATTGAAGATGGTTGAGATGTGTAAGACTAAAGAGATGGGTGAAAGTGTGGATGCAAAGAAAAGAACAAATAAGATGGCGATAAGTTGTGTTTGGATTTGACTATTCATGTATGTGAAAGAGAAATAGCTAAAACTCAAGTATTTTTATTTTAATTTGATTGAAAAAAAGTCTCTCTTTATATATGATTTTGATTTTTCCGTCTGGTCCCCCCTCTTTTCATGTGTATGATTTCACCAAGCTACCTCTCCATTTTACACGCAAATTCAGCTGCATTGTAGTATCAGGTTTTTCACGAAATTGACATGGTTCAGTAGCGCAGATTCTCGCTATTTGCAGTATCTCTTTTCGTGTCTTTTTCACTGAAATATCGTTGTTTGGTTCATAGTCAAAGTCCAGTGAAATATGATGATGATGGAAAAAAGAAGCTCTCCTGCATAGAAGATATATTCAAGGTTTGATTGGGGGGACCCAAAGATTTGGAATTGCATTTATTGGGGGGGGATCATCACATCGTTCATGGTGGGTAATGACTGTTGACAGTGAATTGGACACAGTTTACGAAGATCAGATATAAGGTGTCATCCATGCGACACATTCAAATGGTACTATTAAAAAACACTAGGCAAGTTGAAACAAAAATTGAGAGAGAGATATAAAGACGAGGCACTGGGGTGGATTGGGGGACGCGAAATCAAAGGCATTTGGCTGGTATCTCAGATATCGAGTTTTACAGCAATTCAGCTCGATGAAGATGGAAAGCAGATATCAAAAGGCGTACCCTGGATTCAACCAAAGCTTATTTTGAGCTTTTGGTGGGTGCATTCAATCTTGGGGGGACGCTACCACCAAAAAATTGGGCAGTCTACCAACATTGAAAATCGAAATATGGGTCTCTGGAAGCCGATATCAATGGATTTGTAGCGATGTTGGGGATTGGAGTTATTTGAGTTACTGGGGGCTACTAGTAAACATGGGCATACAGGTAGAAATCGAAAAAATGGCTGCTTGGCTCGATTTTTGAGAACTGAGCCTTGGATATCAGCTGGGGGGGGGCATCATTAAGGGGAACATTTGGCTTTCGGTGGGGCCTCTGTTTCTTTTTCTGTACCTCAAACTTGATTAGCACTTTATGCGCGTGGAATATATATTTAGCTTTCTCTGTCTGATACAAATGCAATGGCTTCCATCGAAATGATACGCGACAAATGTCGATGGCCATTTCCAGCCTATACTTGGAAAGTTGAACGACTGTCTCGCTGACTCTCTTGGGGGTGGCTCTTTTGCATTATGCATTTGATACTAAGATTTTGGGGGTCATACAAGCAGAAGCAATTACGATGCGTCCCATTTCATAAAATTAGACGAAATAACCAGGTTTGAATGAACCATCAATGCTCTACTGTAGATTCAGTGAGCTAAACAATGATGTATCACCATAAACAAACCGTAGCAACGAGGCATAAATGGATAGATACAGAAGTATTTGTACGCCCATTGATTTAGTCTGTATTATTTGCAGATTCGAAAGTTTATTGATCTCACTCTATATCGTGGATTTGCAATTTGGATGAGTGGCATCCCATCTGATTAAACCATCGGTGAATGAATTAATGAACTGATCCAGGCACAGACACAGACACCACCAGTACGTTGTATTCATCGACTTTCAGGTACAGAGAGCGATATCAGTTATGTACATTGCGTTGGACTGATGCCAGCTTATAATAAATACACATTTCACGATAGAAGCACGCCTAAAAATGTGGATAACCTACACAAATTAGCACATGTTGGGGAATCAATCTGTAACCACCCATCAGATTGGGGGATGGTATAGGTAAAAATATAGGCATATAATACATCAGATTCCACTGCTAATTTACTTTATAAACAACTATACGAGACATTGACATTGACATTGAACTTTGTTTCAATTAGATGTTTTTTTTAACTATATGTATTTTATGTTGAGTTGGAGGAAATGTACGATTGCATTCCTTCATAAGGCGCATCCTTAAAGTAATATATCCCCAATCTATGTGTAAACAAGCTGTCAGCATGTAATTGATAGAGTTATCAATGATATAGGCTTTAAGCTCGATGGCGATAGAGTATCTGCGATATATTGATAGATTTGGGGGGAGAGGGGGGCATTCAGTGTTAAGCGAGAGTTGTAAGTAGCTTTTGGTTTGACCTGTAGTATAGGGGGGTATCCGTGTTGATCTACTGCCAGTAATGCAAGGGAGAGTAACTGTCTGAATTGATATGTATTACTGGTGGGAAATATATAGTTTTCAAACATTTGTAATGATTGAATGGAGTCGCTCATACATAATGGAATATCATTCAAACACTCGATACAGTACGGTAAATTATATATGCATCATATATATGAGCAATATTTACATTGCGCTATGGCAGACATAATCTATTACAGTGCTTGTATGCAAACTTGGACCCCACCAGAGCAGGTTATTGTATATCGAAAATAAGCTCGATCTTGTTCGTTTGGAAAGATATATCAATGCGTATTTCCATTAAAGAAGGTGCAGGCCTGTTTGGACAACTGGATGAGCCTACGAATTGGGGGTGCCATGTTCGGTGGCAATCTATATAGGTACTGGGGGGATTTTTAAGGTGATATTAGGAGCAACGGTGATAGCAATAGTGAAGTCATATGGAGATAGTAATTGCACTCATGATTGACATTGTTACGCAGCAGACATATCTAGGATGTATGAGATCAAGACAATGCCACTGAATGTGATGCAGCCACTCACTGTCAAGTTGACGTCTAAATATCAGAGACTAGACAGATCAATTGAAATTGAATCCAGATGCAACCAGTAATTTTTTGACAATGATTTGTATCGAAACCAATGCTTATCAAATGCGATGTAAACTATGTGGAACAGCAAAATGGAGGCGTTTGTATACATTTGTTTTAGCTTTGCAAGGATGCGCTGGTGAGAAGAGGGTAACAACTGCAATCACTAACGTAGGCACTGCCACTTACGGTTACAAAAGTTGGGATTGGGGGTTATTTGTAAAGATCAAGCGACATCAGAGATGAGAGCGATTTTCAAATGTTGGTTTACACTATAGAGTCCAAGCCCTTTCTTTATTTAGAAGGCTAATCATAAAGAATAGACACTGTCATAATTTGAGCTTGGGTTTAATGGCCTTGGATATCAAAGGGAGATGTGTCAAACGCTTTGCCATGAACGGGGGGTCAGTGGGTTTGAGTATTGATTTCTTGATTTGGTTCATCAATCGATGAAGCAGATTCGTAGTGCATGATCTAGGAGATGGAGAATAACTGAGCAATGGCTGACATCGAGGTTTGTAGGCTATTATGTACGATATCAGTAGCCACAGCTTTAGATTGGGGGATATACTGATGATGTTTTTTAGAAATAGGAGTAGGAGATGTCGACTTGGGGATGGTCTTTCAATGGCAAATTCAGGGGTGAATTTGAGCATGTCGAGTTCTCAGATAGCTTCGATGTGGAAGTGCAAATAAATGCACGCTTTGGCACTCTCATATGACAGCTTACTGAATTTGACAAACGCTGTAAAAAAATCGATTTACTCATGCTGGGGAATGACAGGGAGTAGCGCATAATTGACATGTCCCACAAGTGTTTGGAGTTTAGCGTGTGACAAACTATCAAAGCTCATAGCTGAGGGCACAGATATCATCTTCTCAGCTACTAAGATCAAGATAGTATACTAAGATTACTCGTTTATCGATGCTCCAACACCGCCACTAGCATGCAAAATACTACAGAGTTTTGATTTGCAGTACTATGTTGATTTTATTTGTTCGGTTGGATAATTCACAGGATCAGTATTCAAAAAGATCCATTCTTCGAGTGCAATGTGTCATCAGACTGACCAGTTCTCACTTTGTGTTTGAATAAATGACGCACACCAAAGCTATGCCGACCAACAGCCCTCATATTGCTAAGGTTTGATACGATATTTCTGCAGATCAGAAGCTATCACCCTCTTCACCTTGGAATACAAGGTATCCGCAGGACACATAAGCCCGTTCTCTGCCGTTGATTCTACGCACGCTTAACAAAATGCTTCTTACCGCGGTTCCAGTGCTCGCTTATATTTCTGTCATTCGGATGATTGATGAAGTACAGTTTAGGCTTGATAATAGTCAACTTGGTCAATGTAATCGATATACAACAGCAACCATAGTGTACTACATACCTTTATTGTTGATACTGCAATAGTTTGTGGTTGTGGATTGATGCACTACTCGAGAATGTGGCCTATTAATTCACGTGTAACTACAATAACTACTCCCATATGTTTGTCAGTTTTGTATGCTAATCAATTTTTTAATGCTTCTACTGTTTCAAAGAACATGTTCAGCAGACTTTTGATAACTTGAAGAGTTTGTAAATCTGTTAAAAGGAAGCGCTAGCTGCCACTGCAGAAAGTGAAAATATTACATCTCACACTAAGCCTCGCTATTGGCAATGATTACATATCTCAAATCTAGATATCTACATAAGAAACAGGCCAATGTATTCTTGCCAAATTACAGTGATTTTCAACTCGCAATACACATTTAATAGGTTTTGAAAAGCACCAACTACTTGTGCGATCAGCATGACATTGACTTTGTCAGCCATGGTTAATTACATCCTCGCTTTGCAAGCTCGTCCTTTATTTGTTCATTTTGGAACTTTTTGGGCTCGATTCGACCTATTTTGCCAGATTCGACTATGTAAACTGTGATGGTCACCCATACTCCCTTAAGCTTTCTTGGAGCACTTTTCAAGACGCTTCTAATGGTGCTACTTTAGATAATTGTTTTGAACAAACTCTTGAGAAATTTTAGAAAATACGAAATAGCTATTTTGGCCAAAATGTCGAGATTTTGTATATAAAGATTTCACAAACAAAGTTTCAGGGGTTGCTTTGAATCGATAGGAACATTTTGATCTAATATATACCATAGCAAAAGTCTTCATTTTCAAGGTGAAAAATGCGATCGTTTGGTTTTTGGTCAATTTTTAACCATGTTTTTTTTTGGCTCAAAGAGCTGAGCAAAGGTGTCAGAAAGTTGCTACTAGTCGAGCACAATGGTTTGGCGTCATTCCGGTGGCTCAGAAAAGTCTACATGTCAAGATATGAAGACCTGAAAACTGTCCAATTTGGTTTTATTTTTGCTTTATGGCTATTATTTACACGGTATGAATTACATCCTTGATAGGTGAAATCTTCTGGAAGGGCAGTTCTGCAGCCTTGCAACTTCTAATTCGAATAGGAGGCATATTGGTTCTTTTGAAGCTAATTCATGCAAATTTTGATGCGTTATGTTGTTTGTAAACTTGATAATAATAGAAATGAGAAACCGAATTTGCTGCTTGAACACTATGACTTTACACTTTTGCTTCGCTACGGTAAAACCGTCATAAAAACCAATACTATGAAGTATTGGATTCAATACCTGATTACCATCGCTTTGCGCTTTTGCTTCGCTACGATAACCGCCCCCCCTTTATAAATCAATGCTATCAAGTGTTGAATTAGATGCATTATTATGTTCTTGGTGGAGGGACTAAATCTCTCCCCCAAAGCCCCTCCCCATTGCTGGTTTTGCCAGTGGTTTTATTCACCTTTGTCCGGCTTTCAATTCTGTAGAATTATATTTGAAAGAATGTGGTTGGTTTGTCTATTTTTTGAGAACATAGTTTTCCAGTATATATAGTGAAGATTTAGAAAGAACAGTTGACCTCTTTATAATTTAAAAAAGACGTACGATCTACATGTACTGAGCCAGGGTCTGTCAGTCAATCATAGTAAATGGTGGTAAACTGCTGAGCATCATGTCTCCTCCTCAACAGATGTCGATCCCCCAATCCGATACAAAGCAATAACTGATGACTATCCATTGTTGAGTGATGTCTTTGAAGCTTGCTCTCCTGATTTTTTCTAGAGCTTAAGATAGACTTGTAAGCTCTAATTTCAAAATGATAATGAGTAAAATCTCAGACTTGCCGTTGCATTTCACTAAATATTGATAAGCCTCAATTTACAAAGTGCATTGCTATCGAATTAACAAAGTGATGATGGTACCTCTTCAAAAAAGGATATCATTTCCAAATTGATTTCTAAAAACGGCTCTTTCAATTTCGCTATCTGCTGGTTTCAGTCTCATGTAAATGAAGAATTACAGGCTAAGCCTATATCCTGTACTCAAATTTGTCCTAAAGATTACAGAAATGAGCAAACATTAAATGACAGAAACTCGTGTTTTGTAATACTAGACTAAATTTGGAAAACATGCTTTGAATCAAATCATGCTCGCAAGCAGAGAGCACCACCATTAAACAAATTATAATTCGTTTAGAAGCTTGAGCTTGAATACTCTGTCGTAGAACATTGGTATATGAATTTACAGTCGTCACCACCCATTACTAAACTGCTTAATTGCGCTTTCTATTTATGATACACTAAGAATTCCTAATTTCAACCTTGAATCTTAGTAGATAAATTGGGATAGACCCTTTGACAAATCTCTCATGTTGTATGGTTCAGTCGGGATCAACGATATTATGAGAGCCGATGTATGTATATAAAAAAATTTCTATACAAACCTTCTTGGCTCCCCCTATTATAAATTAAAAATACATACAATGTCTGTATACATGACATGTGTAATAAAAAGAATCAGATGTCTTGGAGAGCTTATGTGCAGGCATATATACCCCTTGAATTTGATATACATGAATCTTTCTGTTAACTATGGCATTTGAAGCGCTGTGCCTGTAGTAGTGTCCAATGAGAAATATATTGATGGTAGATGAATGAACCTTATTTTGATTCGTGCCTGGTTGCCATGGAGAAATCGGTTCCTGGTTGCTATGTGTATCATATCTGGCTATAGTGACTCCGAACTTGATGTGAATTTGAGTTGCTGACAGAGATTTGATGTACACACATGGACACCGTGTAAAGGAACAAGGAACAACACTGTTGTTTTTAAATGACGTATTGACATGTCTTGTATTTCAATATGGGACTCAATAGATATGTATGTTATATCAGTTTAGAATGCACAGCAATACTCGCACATTGACATACCCAGATTATTGGGTTTCGATGATATAATGATATTTCCACATCGTGCCTCCTTACATTGCATGGCACAACTCGCTCGAATGAGCTTACTAGTGAAAGAAGCAAATTATGGGGATCTCAATATGAGAATGATAATAATAAAAATCATATGCAAATAAGGATCGAGTTGTTATTTCAAGGAGCATTTATAACTGCAAATGTTCAGAATTAAAACATGTGCATCTTTGGCTTTCCTCTATACCTTAACTTGACGTCATATAATAATGCCATTCATTCAACATGTTGTTGGATCCCCCTTTTTTACAGTTGGTACTCGTTGTTGCTCAACGATGAGTGTAATTCTAGGCTCTGGGCTCACCCCTAAATAAAGAACCCAATTAGGAAAGGTATATGCACTTCAGCATCATTCGAAATGACAAGCTACGATCCTCTTTTGCTCACACACATTGATCATACTGTATACAAACACACCCTCAGTTGCTCAAATTTCCACTCTAACATCCCTTTTTGGATCGCTTCTTCCCCTCCTCCCCCCATCCACCCCCTATTTTATCATGCTATCTAAAATCTATTTAATGAAAGCTTTTTTGTTTTTATTCCTTCTCTTTCTCTTTCTTTTTTATCAAACATCAGCACAAAAAACACATAAACGCGCCTTGGTAAAACACATATCAAGCCTCCAAAAAAAAAACTGCAAAACACATTAGCACTACAACAGCAAATCAATGACCAGTACACATCAGCAAGCACCTCAATCTCAAGAGGAAGAAACTTCTTCAGCCATCAACAATAGCCATGTGTCATTCAATACTACGATTCGACTCCAGCCACCCACCAATGCAAACACCGAGCAAAGATTGAAGCAAATTGATGAGCTCAAATACTTTCTAGGAACTGCTACCAATGACTGGGAGCCCAATCGTCAGGTCCATTCCTTTGGCTTACCAACAGGTGAAAGCATTTCATGCGTATTCTGGAATGACTTGTTCCATGTGACAGGCACTGACATTGTGCGATGTCTACTGTATCGATTCCATCTGTTTGGTAGACCTGTCACCAATCTCAAGAAATTTGAAGAGGGTATCTTTTCTGATTTGAGGAATTTGAAGCCTGGTATGGACGCCTCATTAGAAGAGCCAAAGTCTGAATTTCTGGAGATGCTGTACAAGAACAACTGCATACGAACACAAAAGAAGCAAAAGGTGTTTTTCTGGTTTTCTGTGCCTCATGACCGATTGTTCCTAGATGCCCTGGAGAGAGACTTAAAGAGGGAGAAGATGGAATTGGAACCGACAAGCTTTGCTATTGCTGAACCTGCCATGTCACTGTCTTTGGACACAACACTGGAACTGTTTGATCAGCTACGAAAATCCATGTCCTTATCCGCTGTCGCAGTTACTCATGCCATGGATGATGAATTCCATCAACAGCAGCTACTGGAGTCCAATCCGTCTTCGCCTACAACCACTGCGAGTAGCATTCATGCTGTTAATTCGTCCTCTTCCATTCCTACTACTACCACTTCTACTACTTCTTCTTCCATTCTTACTACTACTCCACTGACTACTGCAGCAACAGCAGCAGGTAATTAACATTTCTTTTTTTTTTTTTCTCACTTGCATATACAATAAATCCAAAATGAGCAATAATGCTATTAATCACTCCAATGCTGCCAATCCTGTAATAACAAATTGTTAAACTTTTTTCTCAATAGGCCATCAACATTATAACGGTAAAGAATTTGGGCATAGGTCAACTAGGTCGCTCTCTTCCATTATGCCACCTCCATGTTCTTCTCCAGCCCTATCTGCTGATAGCTCACCTGCTCTGGCCTCTTCTGCCCTGAAAGATCCACCTTTAGCTAATTATCAGCAGACAAGCTACTCTGCTGGTACTTCGCCCAAACTGGCACCCTGTCATTTGCCCGCTGTGGATGATGCTAATACAGAACAACAGCAAAAGATATTTGGACAGTTCTCTCTATTTGAAGGCTCGCCCACCTACAAACAACGGCAACGCAGAAGAACATTTTCCGCATTTGCACCCTTCTTTCCAGACAGCAACGGCAGCAACGATCGCCTGGAATTGGCCACCATGAATGCAGGTCTCGCCATCAACCCGCAGAATCTCTTCCAGCTCCTGCGCAAACAACAGCAACAACAGCAACTAGAGCAACAACAATGCCATGAACGCCATCAGCAAACTGACAAGGTGTACACTTGCCCTTTGCCTCAATGTGGCCGTCTGTTCAAGAGATTGGAGCACCTCAAGAGACATTTCAGAACACACACATTGGAACGCCCATATTCGTGCAACATGTGTGGCAAGCACTTTTCAAGAACGGACAATTTGGCACAGCATAAGAAGACGCACAACCGAAGCCGCAATCTGACATCCTCGTCTCTTCTCGGTCGATCGAATAGTAATGGTAGTCAAGGCAGCATTAAAAAGGAGGCTTCCGCCAACGATCAACAGCAGCCTATCGTATCGACAAACTTGATTGTAGACAAGCTGTCCATCTTGACTACAAATGACACCGGCTCCATGATCCCGATCGATTACTTTTGCAACAACGATATTATGGAAGAGAGTGACACAACATATGCTTTCCAATATCCAGCAGCATATCAATACCAGCAACAGCAGCAAAATGATGATAGTATCTATTACAATCACAATCACTCGATGGACAATATATGCATGACAGCAGAATATGACCAAGTATCTCCAATATCATATGACAACCCCAGCATGTGGCAAACTCACTCCTCCTCTACTGCGTCAAGCTTTTATAATCAACCAAACCAACGTCTTTCCTGGTGCTCTACCATCGATGAACAAAGCCAATCATCGTCACCCACCATTCCTTATGAACAACAGCCCATCTATACTTGGCACACTTGAACGACACAAATCATCTCTATGTAATTATGCTCTTTCTTCTTCATATGCCATCCAACTGCCAATCTATGTACATTGCCTTCCTCTCCCCCTCTCCCTTTTTTTTTTTTTTTTTTACCTCTGTAGTATATATGTGTATATGTCCATTTCATCGTTTATATATATATCCTTTATGCCTTCTTTTCTAAAAATATGCTATTCAAATAAACATTTATTTCTATCAATTGAAGGAATTAGTGAATTTTATTATGTAGAAAAAAAAATTAACATGCAAAACAGAATAAATGAGAAGGGAACAGGAGAGATTTGGTGGTGGTGGTGTTGAAAGGGGGGAATAAATATTAATTTTTTGTGTGTTGTAAAATCTCTATCACATACATCTCTCTCTCTCTCTCTCTTCTTTGTATATATGTATATATACATAAACATGATTTACTCGGGCTTCTTGGCGACAAAGAAGAACATGGGAGTAAACAAGTTTTGTCTGGCACCAGCAACTAAAGCATCAGCAGCAGTTTCCAAGAACTTTTGGGTCTCAACCGTACCCTTGGGAGCCAAACCAATCTTCTCCAAGACGCGGACAAAGTTGGTGGTAGTGAAACGACCCAACTTGGTCATGGCTAAAGTGGTTAAAACATCCTTGGCAGTTTGACACTTTCTGATATCACCTTCAAGAGGGTAGTACCAGTTGATGGCATCACCGACATTGGCAAGATCTTGGTTCATCAACACATCGAAGCCAACGTTCTTCAAGGCTTGGATACACTCGGCAGTCTTACGCATCTTGGGAATACCGTTACCAATTTCAATGCTGTGAGCAATTTCCTTGTGTTCAGGGTTGTTTTCATCGAAATCGTCAGTCATACACCATTCGTAACAACCAAAGTTTCCTCCAGGCTTCAAGACACGGTAAATCTCGCCATAGACACCTTCGAAAACAGGAGCGTGACATGTAGCTTCAATAGCGTAAACAGCATCAAAAGTGTTGGCCTCAAAAGGCATTTCCATAAAGTTACCCTATGATACGCAATGAGTAAATAGCACTCTCTCTATTCTCTCCTGCTTCAGTTTACATACCTTGATGAATTCGGTTTGATCTTGCAGCAATTCCTTAGCAGCATAATGCGTAGCTCTTTGGAGTTGATAGGCATTGTTGTTCAAACCAGTAACATGGGCACCAGTGAAATGAGCAATTTCACGAGCGGGACCACCAACACCACAGCCAACATCAAGAACACGCATATCCTTCTTGATACCAATGTTGGCGGCTAAATAGTGCTCATGACGAGCAATAGCGCGGTTGAACTCTTCGCCAACATAGTAACGACAGAAGTGGAAACTGGAACCCCATCCTAAACAGCCTTGTAAATATCACCAGCAACGCGTCCTTTTACTCATATACGTACCATATTCATAGAAATCGGTAGCCAAGTTATAGTAAGAGTTGACAAGAGAAGTATAGCCATCTAATCTCTTGGTTTCGTCTTCCTTGGTCTCTTCCTTGGGAGCCTTCCACATCTTGAGATAAGTGTCAGTAGCCACATTGTGGACATCAGCGTTCTTGGAAGACAAGTTGGCCAAAAGACCACTCTTGATTTTCTCGCCATGGAGGGCACGAGCAAAGGCAATATCCTCAGAGTTTTGAGCTGAAACGGTTCCAGTGGTCATTTTTCTTTATTTGTGTAAGTCTTGTTGAAAAGAGTTAAGAAGAAGAAAAGGAAGCTTTAATCAAAAGAGTTGATTCCAGAGAGTAATACACAAAATTTTATTTAGGGTTTGAAATACCTTGATTTAGTAATCTGGCTGCACGTCCGCCCGACATCTGTCTCAATATCCGTCCTCCCCTTGATGAGATTTATGTGATTTGCCCTCTCCCCTTTGCCTACAGAAGACTTTCATATTACACATTCAATTCTTCTCGCAGTAAAACTTTTATAGTACATTATTTGATATCTTGGGCTCATTTACTCGAGCTGATAAGGTGCAAAAGCTGAAATGAAGAAGCGTACAAAGTGTAACCAATCTAATTCATTGGTTGCCGTGGCCCTATCTTGCAGTGGTAATAAAGCAAGCAGAAATCATTCCTTATCAGCCTGAACGCACTGAGATTAAGCTGATTCCTGCCATATGTACCAGTGCCTGTGGAAGGCAGGCCGAAAGAACGCTAATCCACTCAGGGCATTCTTGTATGTTGGCTTTTTTTTCACATGTAACATTGGAATCCTTGAAAGGCCCGTGGTCCCCGACTAGGTCTCATTGGCTTGTGCAGCAGCAACATTTGAAACAATAGACTATGGACACTGACAATTTGAAGAGCTGTCTTTAGCTATCGTTGCCAGCCAACTTGTTCTCTTTCAAGAAACCAATCTTTAATCGCATGCTGGAAAGATTGACACAAATTTGCTGGAAACAAAGCGCAGCATAACATTTTCCGTTAGCCTTGCGTAATTTCTTGAGGCGATCAATGATCTTCTTGGATGTCATAGCATTTGGGAAAGCAACAGCATTTTGATTCAAGTTGACAGGGCTATACCAGCTCTCTGATCTGTCCATTTTATTACTCAATTTTTGACGAGCAGGGCGTCAATGCACTGAAAAAGACAATCTACTAGACAGTGATTGTATTTTAGCAGCTCAACGATATAAGGTGAAATGAAAATGCTTGTACTGAGTGCCTATTAATGAGATGGCTGTTATCAGTTTATAAACAGGCTATTTTTCAGAGATTTGAGTGTTTTCAAAGAAAAGCATGTAGCACTTTGCCAGTAGCATTACTCAATGCGTAGAACCAAGAATTACCTACAATTTGAGGCTTAACTCGAAGCTGTAGCATCAATCCTCAGGGAGCTACACTGCCGAAAAGGTCAACCTCAGCCAAATTGCCAAAAAAAAAAAAAAAAAAAAAAAAAAAACGATCGCTCAAGGCTAACTTTTGCTACAGTAAAGCATAAAAAGTTCTTTTTGTATATTTCTATCTGTCATTCCACGCCCTACATTTTTCTTCTGCACTTGAGCACCACATGGACGTTTCTGCGTTGTGTTTAAAGAAAAACGTATTTTCGCCACTGTAAACTCCAATTTGAGGGTTTGAAAATCGACTTTTCAAAAGAGGTATCGTATGGGCCCAAATGAGGCTTCATTTTGTAGAGCAAGCACAGGGGAGCAAAACTCACTTAATAGAGTTAGCGGATTGACTTGACAGATTCACGGATAATAACGTCAAAGCACTGCTCTTTATATATTGGTTTCGTTACACCTTTTCTCACTTAATTACTCGACAACCAAAGCAGCAACTGAAAATTCTTTCATATGCCTTATGCCACTCTAAAGTAAGCATGTATTGATCCTAAATTGAAGTTTCTGGTATAAACATAGAGCGTGAAAAAGCTATTCTCCCCTTCTGATAAAATGCGCAGCACATCTTTGACTCTTTGCCAAACCACAACGAAGCAATATATACCCAAGCAGTTTTGCATACAACGTTTTCCAACATCTCATCTATCAATTGAAATACTCGTATTAAGTTGTAATTAATGGGCTTTATATGAAGGCTAGGATTGAATGTTGGCTTATTTCGAAAATCATCTATTACTCAACAGCAACTCTTCCAATCTAAAATACAATTACACCATCATTTTTATCGCTAAATTTGGCCATAGGAACATGGTACTTCCAAAGCACGAATTAATTATCTTTTATACAATATATCCCCATTGAATATGTTGTGATTAAGGGATAAGGCAAAGTGGATGAGATTGTGCAACAGTTCGCAAGGCAATAGAATTCTACTACATCAAACAAAGTGATCATATGGGAACAATTGGCAGCTGTCGACAAGTATGACACTCAATGCCATTTTAAAGCAGGCGGCAAGATGATCGGATGTGGCCCAGGAGAGAATCTGGCCGAGGAGAAGTAAATGAAGAAAGTGGCTGTGTCAGCAGCTCAATGGGCTTAGAGGCCTCAGAGAGGCAGGAACTAGCTTTTGACGATCAGCATTGACAGCTTAGTCAAGGAATTTTGACATCTAAAAGTTGGCATAAGGTCTGTAACTTGCAACCAATCTAGAGTTCAAAGGGGTGGGGCCAACAAATCTTTTGCTTCTTTAAAGTGAATCACCTTTGTTGAAATCAGATGTGCCTTTTATGTTAATAGAGACATCATTTTGTTTCATAAACTGACGGGATTCTGTACCAAATTCTTGATCTACTATCCGATCAATGACTAATTTTTCAAACAATGCTATACAGGTTGTGCACTACTGTATCATGTAGATAGCACCTCAATACGGGCTACTGTATTGTACACTTAGACAAGCTTTAATAAAGATCAATTCATTATATTAATGGGTTTATATCACACACGTGGTGATTTACATTGCTGTAGTATTTTTATTCTTATAGCGTCATGACGACGATTGAGTACAACATTTGCATATTTAAGTAGTTTGGTATAGTCAAGAATGAAATGACAAAGGACAAGAAGAAAAGAGAGAAAGAATGCTGAAATATTAATTTAGATAAAGTCGTTTCTTTCAAGCAAGCTATTACTCTTCCACTACCAAAAGCCATAATGTCACTTTCTTGTTTCTTGTGCTTGCGCAGATTGCTGTTAATTTCTTTATATCTCCGGCTTTCACTCTTTTTTTTTCCCTTTTTTTCTTTTTCTTCTCACTCTTTGTATTCAAAAAACTCAAACACCATAAAAAAAATGCTGTACGAGGATGAGGATCCTCTTGGAAACTCCATATTTGACACTGCATCCAATTCGATACTGGGAAACACAATGACTACATCCATGTTCTCATCAGGATACGAGGAGGATCCTTGGGGAAACCACATGAACACATCCATCATACCATCATCACCAGCAGCAGCGATAAACGCATCAACAGCCAATGATATGGGTAGATCATTTACTACGCCTAATCTGTTCCATCGAGACACTACATCAGATGCCGCTGATTCTCGAGGAATCAACAATGCAGCGCCCTACAATTCAACCACTGTGCTCTGTAAGTAGCGTCTGATTAAACATGGAAAAGATGGCAACTGACATCTCTCTAAAAAAGCTGGTATTCGATTACCTGAGATGTATGATCAACTATTCTCCCAATATCAACGCTCAGGCAGAGTTTCTTTATCGACGTTAAACAGCATTTTATCTAAAGGAAAGATCTCGGCACAACAAATCGAAATGGTTGGTTATTGTATACTCTGTGTGTGTATGTGTGATATTGGCTATTGACTCTTCTCCCTTCTTTTTCTATTTATAAGATTATGCAAATTGTGGTACCAAATGGCGCATCGTATGTAACTCAGTCCGAATTCAATACAGCCATTGCATTGCTTGCTTGTGCTCAAAACAGAATCGATGTTTCGCTACAGAGCTTATATCGAAATAGAAACTGTAAGTGTGGGGACTGATTGTCATGCTGCGTGAACGATATTAAAATAAGCATATAGATCTCCCAGAGCCAAGCATGCATAATGCAGAAGTAGTGAAATCGCCCCTCAAAGTTATGGATGACAATCCCATTGCACCTGAACCAACCACCAAGTCAAACTACCAAAGCAAAACTGCCTATCCTGGTATGTTAACATCCAGTAAAGAGCAACAAAGGCAACAGCAACAACAAACAGAACAAGAACAAGCAAACAACAATAAGACTTTGGATACAAATCATTGGTTCCAGCATTTAGAGGAGATAACAGTGACAGTAGCACCAGAAAGGGAAGGGTTTATATTCAAGCACGTCAATTACATTGTGACAAACGAAAAGAGGTCTTCAATTGTGCTGAGACGATATAGCGATTTCTGGTGGTTGTTGGAGGTTTTGTTGAGGAGATATCCATTCCGTGCTCTACCCAATCTACCGCCCAAGAAATTAGGAGGAAGTAAGTATAAAAAAAAAGAGGTCAACAAGGTACAATACCCTCACACTTACGCATGTTCTCAGGAGATGCTACCTTTTTAGAGAAACGACGAAAAGGCTTATCGAGATTTATCAATGCCATCATTCGCCATCCTGTATTACGTCAAGATGATATTGTTGCACGATTTCTAACAGAACCTTCCGAATTATCAGCTTGGCGTAAACAAAATCCACCCAATTTAGACGAGGAATTCAAACGAAAGACGCACGCTATTCGGGATCTGGACGATATGACACCTATGAATTTGGATGAACAGCTGCAAAAAGCGAGAAAGAGAGTGTCTGCTGGTATCAACCATTACGTCAATCTGTGCTTTATTATGGAGAGAATGATTCGTCGCATGCATGGGCAAGCCACTGATTTCTCGAGATATTCCATTGCTCTTAATTCTTTGGCAGAAGCAGAGTTGAGATACCATGCTGGAGAGTGCAGAAACTGTCAACATGTAGTCAGGGGATATGAAACAGTTGCTAAACACATGCAAACCGAAAGCAGTATATTGGAGGATCAAGTAGGAAATGCAACAGATGGTGTGTTGGAGAACCTGAAAAGGTTCAGAGACTTACTGGTCTCATTTCGGGTAAGTGGGGTGGCTATGCAATCGCTATCAGTATGTAGTTGACTGACGCTCTTGTAGGATCTGGATGAACGTAGAGCCAAATTATCGGTGAACCAAACGGAAATGATCAGTAAACGAGTGGCCGCAAACCGCAACAAAGTGCATCAGAATAAGGGCGTTCCTGGATTAGAGGCCGAGGTTGAGAAATTAGAGGAATCTATCCGAGCAGTAAGTTTAGAGAGTTTGCGTGCAGAACATATCACTAAATCTGTGTGGATGGGATGTAGGATGAGATGGAGTTGACTCTGCAGCAAGACCGAGAGATCTTTATCAGATTCTGCATGTGGTCAGAATTGATCTACCTTCACAAACAGCAAGCATTTGTGTCTTCTCTATATCAGAACTATGTCAAGGATTCGATCGAGTTTTCAAAATTGCGCGCAACCAACTGGCGTGATCTTGAAGCACCTACTTTCGAAATGCCTACCAATGTCGAGCTGTTTGAATAAGAATGCCACCCTATTCACTATCTTTTTTTTTTTTTTTTTTTTTTTTGCTTCAATGTAAATATCTCTTACTTTTTTGTAATAAAAACTATATCTCCTTCTGCCTTGTTCAAGTAAAGAATTTTCCGAGCTGTAAAATGACATATGCTTGAACGATTACACAGGACAAACAGACCTCTTTCTTTTTCTTTACCTTACCACTAAAAGAAAAATGATGTACACTGAGCATCATCAGCAGGATCCATTGATCTTGTTAAACTCGCATCACATGGACGACATGCTTGTACCCATCACAATAAAGCCTCTACCTGCTTTACTAGCTCCACCTGCCAATCTCAGTCTGTCCGCCACATCGCTGCAGACGCCCAATGCCACCAACAGCAGCTACTATCATCACACGAGCGACTCGCATCAAACGGAATCCATGTCAGTCTCAGAACCGTCTCCACTGCCACATGCAACTTTGCCTGATCTACCATCACAGCTACCAGCAGTATCTTCCCCAAATTACTATTCAGTCATTCAAAAGCAATCACAAGAGATTCAAGAACTTCGGCAAGATCTGGTTCGACTCAACCAAAAATACGTGGATCAAATTGAGCGCATGCAAACTGCCGAACATGCTAAACATCAAGTAGAGTCAGAGCTGGAAGATTTATCATTACGACTATTTGAACAAGCGAATCAAATGGTTTCTGATGAGAAAAAGGCACGATTCCATGCAGAGCGAAAGGCTGCCTTGTTGGAGCGAGAATTGATAGCAGTGTATGAAGAGTTGGGTAATGAGCGAGCTCAATTGAATGAGTTGCGGGTCAAGCTATATGAGCCGTTTGTACACCCATTGGATCAACAACCATCAGCACAGCACATATCACCACTACAAGAGCCACAGTTACACTCTATTCAGCATGGCATTTCTACAGCTGCATATTTAGACCATAATTGGTTGAACTTATTCAAGGGTTTTTTGACATTGGCACCAAAAACACCTTTGGAACACATACACAAGCTGCAATTCATGAAACAGTGCCTCGAATTGGACATCGAGCCCTGTCTTCGATTCGGAAATAATGCGAAGGGTGGGCATCTCTCTTGGAAAAGAGCCCTAGATGCTATTCTTCATCAGTCCTGCTTTATTGAATCAGAGACGAGCTTTATGAAACGTTTGTCGCACGATACTGCTGCTTCTAGCGCTTCTACTGCTGTTACTGCACCACTGATTGTGGCAAGAAGATCTTCATTCGCTCAACTTGCGAGTCGATTTCGCCCTTCATCTGCGTCTGCTGTGGTGAAGCAACTATGCTATGGATGTGGGACGGAATTGCAAGCACCGCTCTTTCGATTTCGGTTAAAAGAGCAGGATACAGATTCCTATACCATTGATCGCTCCTGTCGCGATCGTCTAGTAGCCGTATGTGATTTTTATGTATTTATTAGGCATGTTAGATTGGGACTCCAGAGCCAGAAAACAATCCAATGCTTGTTTAGAGAATGTGTCTGGCTTAGGCTCTGTATGTTTTGGGCAAGATCAGGCATTCATCATGATGACTCGGTCTTGTCTGTTAATGAAGAATGATAAACTTTGGTGTGTCGAAATAAATCATATTTATCTATATCACGGCGTTTTTGTGCAAATGTGTATTCACGGTCTTTATTATAAAAGTGATTGAAACTATGCTCTCTGCAAATGTTTGTCTTTTCTGCTGAATGCAGTGAGTCTTTTCAAGAACCCACCAAGTGATGTCGTAGAGGAAGGCCTTGCAAGGCACTGCTGCTGCTGCTGCTGTTTTTTGTTGCTACTAAAAAATGCAGGCATTGTTTTATTACTGCTCGCCTTAGAATGAATAGACCCAAATTCATCCTTTTGTCGAGTTTCTTCAGCCCAATTAAAGGAAGATGTATCTGATATGATGGATGTTGTGTATACCCCATGTCTTTTAGCTACTCGAGGCGACAATATGATAGGAGAAGTATGTGATGAAGATGTTTTAGCTGCCTGGGTACGATGAGGTTCAGAAAATAGACTTGACCCAGACATAATGGTGGATGTTGCTGATACGGATAAACTGCTTGAAGTAACTGATCCTCGTCGAAAAGCAGTTTTGTTACCATATGAACTACGAGTGCCAAGGTATTTGATCACTTTTTGTATCGAGTTTTTGCGCTTTGAGTCATTGTATATCATGCTCTCGCTATCGAAGCTCGATTCTTCCTTCATGATTGACTGAGTACTCGAAATAGTTGGGTAATTTCCGTCTGAATCTTGCTTGGTGCTGTTGCTTCTTGACCTTGTCTTGCGGATACTGCTCAACGCACTCAGAAATCCCTTGAATGAGGTCGAATCAACACCTGCTGAATCGCGACTGCAGTTTAGTTCTACTTGAAATGTATCAACCGAGTCATTAAAGTAATCCGATGATGTTTCTGAGGAGTCTTTGTCTGATAGCTTGAATCTGTCTCGTAATGAAGTTCTGTAATCCAGTGATGAAGTTCTATTGGGCGGGGTAATGCTTCTCGCATTAGGGCCAATGCAACTGTACGGTACGCTCTGGGTTGGTATATCATCATCACTTTCTTCTTCTTTCTCCTCTTCTTGTTCACTGTCTGAGGATAATGACGAAGAATAGTAGTACTGATGGTTTGAGTTGTGTGCTGGTGAAGGATGTGCTCTGTATTGACTGTGTGTTGGTGCTGCAGGGGCTATACTGAGCGAAGCAAATGAGATGCTTTCGTCACTGCTACTCTTATTTCTTCTATTGCCCAGTTGCTTCAATGTCGGTATCAACTTGAAGGCCTTCTTCTTACTGCCAGACTTTTCCTGTGGATGATCCTGCTGCCTTTGTTTCCCCGCTGTCAAATGTGGTAGATCAATCTGATGTCCTTCTACTACTTGCTGGTCTTCCTCTTCCCCTGATTCTTCCTCATAATCATTATCATCTTCTTCGGAAGATTGGTATTCATTGGCGCTAAATACTTTGTGCAAACTTGTCGTGCTGCCATTGCTACTTTCAAGCTTTTTTAGTTCATGCAGGGAGAGGACGGACAGATCTACGTTGAATTCCATGTCAAATAGGGTCATCATTTCGCTTGCCAAGTTGAGAGCAACCGCGCTGTTTGTTGGTACGCCTGTATCGCTGAGCCAGCTCAACCTGCTTGTGCTTTTTTCATTGCTACTATTGTCATAGCTGTTGTTGGGACGCTGTGACGAATATGTTGGCTGTGAAGTGGACAAAATTTGCAGCTTGGATTGAAACGGCTGTGGAAGAGGTTGCATAGGTTTTTCTGGTATCTTATCATCAATATCTTTCATGTCAATATCAGATTCAGAGTAAGACGAGCTAGCTTCATCTTGAAATAATGTATCCTTAGAGAATACAGAGCTGGAGAACAAGGAAGCGTAGTAAGCACTCATTTCATCCATTTCCCGAACTTCAGCGGTGATCTCTGGATAATCAGAACACAAAAACCGCTGCTCCTTCTTGCTGCCCTCTTTTCCCAATGTGATGGCAGTGCTATATACAACCTGAGAATACCGATAAATGATCTTTTCGACATCTTTTTGCGTCATATCCTCCAGTGATTCAGGCGTAAAGTACTCCCAGCGCACCATATGCTTTGTGAGTTGCTCATTCGGTGTATGCTTGTAGACGATCTCTACTAGATTCTTGATCAATGCTGTTTTTCTTAACGTGCGATCATCTGGTGGTGCGAATGTCATTTGTGCTAATTTGTAGTTGGATACTGCAGCGAGTCGAATACGGTTTGTTGAGGGCTCTTTCTTTGCAAGCGAGGTGAGGGATAGAAATGTTGGCGGCATGTTGATAAAAAAAGAAGTTACTACTGTAAACTGGAATCCATAATCATGTTAAATACAAATTGCGCTCCAAAACGTCAACATTGGTATAAACATGGAAATAGATTCAAGCTAAAACCCATAAACGAGCCTTGATTTGTCAAAAGAAACATACAGCTTGAACTGGATGTTTCTCTTGTTAAAGTAATAGCTGATCAATTGGCAATATATGAAGTACATCCCACGTGAAGCTAAATAGTGTTCTGAAACCATTTTGACATCAATGATTATTATGTCTCACCTTGCAAGCTAAAAATACAACTGATCCTTTGCTATTATACGAACGACAAGTACTCAAGCGCTGGCCATATGTTTCTTACGCTAGCCTGTATGTACACCCTATTACCTATGCAAGTTAAAGGGGAACAATGTTCGTGTACAAATCCAAGTGCAAACAAATCAGCGAGTATGCAAAGATGAAAAGGCGTTTCACGTGGCAAATGATGATACAATAGAGATCTATAAATACGGATTACAACACTGATCATCTACTTTGTTGCGATGATTTGTATGTAACGCTTAGCAATCAAAATCTCCACAACTTGCAAGAAAACAGGATCCAGGAAAGTATCTTTTATAGGGCAATGTCTATCATTTATATGTGCTCTCTTGTCTGATACTCTGATTCAGTGTAAGTCTCATGTTCACAAATTGATTCGACAACATTTGACGGAATATGTGTCAGATTATGAAGCTATAAATGTAACAGCAACAGGCTGTCGAACACATCGAAACGTTGGCGCATAATTCTGTGGTTGTTCAGCTTTAGTCAACTCCTGCCCTGACTACAGCATTATTCAAACGACAGACTTAATGAAAAGCCACCAGAAAAAGTAATCCACATTACCGGACAGTTTTTTTAACCTTCCTTTTTTTTGTTCTTTAACATTCTAGTCTATCATCATGTCAAATAAACTTGCTACAGATACTGACAGCGACGTATCCGAACTCGATCCCAAACAACTCAGTGAAGCCTTGTCCTATGACAAATATACTTGTCAACTTGGATACGCCGAAGATCCTGAAACACCACTTACAGCAGATACATTTCCAAGCAAATCAGGTGGCAAGCCAGTAATATTTCCCAGCCCCTTCTCTTTGACATGAATTGACATACTCAATAACACTACTATAGGCTTGGTTGAATCCTGAACACATTCTGTCAGCCGAGAATGCTACTTGTGGCAATTGTGAACAGCCCATGAGTCTTCTATTGCAGGTAAATAGGTGTACCTCTCTTTTGACAGCAATCGTTCTCAACCAACCTAATAGTTATACACACCTGAAGATCAACCAGCTGAGGCTTTTCATAGAACTGTCTATGTGTTTTGCTGCAAGAAGGGTGGCTGTGTTAAGCAAGATTGGACTAAAAGGTATGACACTGCAATTGCTACACTTCACTATGGATGTTAATCATTGTGCTTTGTAGCTTTAAGGTGTATAGATCTCAATTGCCTCGCGAAAATCCTTACTATGCGCCTCCTGTCGAATCAGACGATGATGAAGATGAAGATGAGCATGCCGATCAAAAACAGTTTACACCCAAATCCTTCAAAGCGCCCACGCAGTGTGTCATTTGTGGCCTTGGTGGATCTAAATTTTGCGGCCAATGCGGTTCAGTAGCTTACTGTTCCCGTGAACACCAAATGTCAGATTGGAACATGTGTAGACACAAGGAATTTTGCAACAAAACATTGACTTCTGAGGAGCAAAAGATTGTGGATAATTTACGTGCAGCTCGTATCTTTTTAGAAAAGGAGATTGTGAGTGAACCAGAGGGCAAAGACCAAGATGAAGAAGAGGAAGAGAGTCAAGCAGCATTTTTCAAAGAGAACAACCCAGACGAGCAACAATCTGACTCTAAGGCATTGGTGCTGGCAGGTGATGAACAAGAAGAAGATACCGAAGTAGCAGTCGATGATGCGTTCTTGCAATTCCAATTGAAGATTCAATTGAACCCTGATCAAGTGATTCGTTACGATCGTGTTGAATACGATATGCCTGTACGCGAACCTCTATGGGTTCAAGCTAATTACAAACCTGAATCTATACCCGAATGCGACCGTTGCCATGCTCCACGCACCTTTGAATTCCAAATCCTGTCTACATTGCTAAACTTTATCGGTGTTAATCACGTTGCTGTCGATTCTTTGGATTGGGGATCATTGTTTGTTTACACGTGCAAAGAAAATTGTGCACTTGGAAAGGATACATTTGCTGAAGAAGTGCTCTGGAAGCAAGATTTTTCTCAAGACGGCATGCAATTAGGTCCAAAGGAAGCAAAACTGTTACGTCGTAAGCAACAGCAAGCGAGTGCTTCTGCCAAATAAGCCTGCCAATTTAGAGTAGTTTCTTTTGCGTTGTTGTCATATCATCAATAAGAATCATTTTTATTGTGTCATTCATCTGTTCATTAGTGTGGTATAAGGCACGTTGTCAGTTGTGACCATGCAAAATTTTGAGCAATGTATTATGCGGCATCAATCATGAAGTATTAAAATGAGACGTTTTATTTGTTTCAAAGTGCAAAAAGAAATTGAGGCTACCAGGGGTCGAACCTGGAATCTCCTGATTCGTAGTCAGACGCCTTATCCATTGGGCCATAGCCCCTCAACTTGTTTTGTCGTGCCTAAATTTAGGTTTAAGCCAAATTTAAAGAAACCGACTAAAAGGCGCCAGCGTATACTCGAAGGTTCTGGAAACTGATAGCAAGCATTGATCTGATTATCAGTTGCTATATCAAGTACTATATCTAATCGAAAGTTCCATTGATTAAGTAATTATCGATCGCAGAAATAGTATAAATATAAGTTGTAAATGCATTCAATAAACAGCATCTTCGAACATAATCTCAATCTATTAGTTACACTCTAAGTTATTTGTTAACTCCTACCATTGGATCTATCTATCAAGACGACAACTGGTAGCAGCAGGACAAAAAAAAAACAAATTCAAGTTACAAAGTTATTTCTCAAGGTTATTCTAAAGGTTATTCTAAAGGTTATCTCTCAAGGTTATTTTTCAAGGCTCTCTTGACGTTCGTTATTGGTTTCTCTACAAGTTTCTCTGGTTCTCTACAAGTCTATGAACGAAGATATTACTATGTCAAGTGCAAATATTGTTGGTAACAACTCTGGTTACGTTCGCAAGGTCCGTGAACCCGATGTTTTTAATGGTGAAAGAGACGCTATTGTTCTGAACGCATGGATTTACTCTTTGGAGTTGTATTTCTCCTTGGTAAAAATTGAAAATACACAAGAAAAGCTGTTGGTTGGTCTTTCTTTGCTGCGAAACGATGCTCAATTATGGTATTCGCAATTGAGTGCCTTTGACAGTGACCATGCCCCTCAAGATTGGGAAACGTTCAAGACGGCATTACGTAATGAATTCATACCAATCGATGCCATTGCCAAGGCTCGTGATGGTATGGCTAATCTGGTTCAAGTATCAAGTGTCACTAGTTACATCAATTCATTCAGACGTTTGCTACTACAAATTCCAGACATGACTCCAGGTGTAGCTCAAGACAAATTTATTAGAGGCTTGAAACAGCCTCTACGTTATGCAGTTCGATCCCACTTCCCAAAGACTTTGGAGGAGGCTCAACGTGTGGCTCTAGCTATTGAAGGTGCCGGCGGGGATGAGGTAGCAGCTGAACCTATTAGAACAAACGTACCTCAACCTCAGCCTGAATCCATGGATTTGGACACAATTCGTGAGCTGGTCAATGCTATAAATGGTATTTCTGGTAGTCGTCGTAACTTTAATGCTGGTAGTAAGCCCAGAAACAATGCCAACGTTAAATGTTACAACTGTCAAGGTTGGGGACACATGCAAGGTGAATGTCCCAGTCCTCGCAATAATGGCCGTGGCGGTGGAAAACGATTTGGTGGCTCTTTTAATAAGCATTTAAAAGAGTAAGCGTGTCTGACGAGGGGGGAGATCAGGCACGCTCCAATAAAAGATCCCTCAACAGTATCAATGTAGGAGATACTGTTCCCAAGGCTGGTGGTAATGGTGTTGATCTGTTAGATTTGGATAACGATCACGAAGTGGATGATTTAAAGGCTGACAGCAATTATTTGTTTAATTTGGAAAAGAACAATAAAGCTACTACTGACTTGCCATTGTACTCTTTTGACCTTTGTTCTAATGATGGAACTCGTGATTGCCTCAAGCCTATCAAGGTACTGTTGGATACTGGTGCTAGCTCAAACTACATCAGTCCTACATTAGTTAATCCTACAACGATGAAGATCACACCATTACATTCTAAACACGAAGTGGAAACGGCTAATGGACAAGTCTCTGTTATCAAGGAAAAGGTGGAATTTTCGGTCTCGGCCAATGGTGTTGGTCAACGTATACAGGCTTATGTGTTTGATACTAAATTTGATCTTATTCTTGGTCAACAATGGTTCAAACAGTATAAACCTATTCCCAATTGGTCTAATAACTCTTGGTCTATCCCTGGCCCTCATGGTATTGGTATGGCGGTCTTGTCTCCGGTAAATCTGGTATCTAATGCTCAAGATTTGGTGTATGTCATGTCCAAAAGACAAATGCAGCGTTCTCTGCGAAAAAACAAGATTGATGAATTGTTTTTGGTACATGTCAAAGAGTCTGGTGACTGGCACAACATGGTGGATACTAGTGATAATCTCGGAAAGGATATCTCTAAACTGTTGGATGAGTACAAGGATGTTTTCACGGAAAAGCTACCTCCTGGTTTACCTCCTGATCGTGGTATCGAACATGTTATCGAGACTGGTGATGCTGAACCGGTATGCAAACATCCTTTCAAAATGAGTCCTTTAGAATTGGATGAACTACAACGTCAATTAAAGGAATTGTTAGACAAAGGCTTTATCCAACCTAGTTCGTCTCCTTGGGGTGCTCCTGTTCTGTTCGTGCGTAAAAAGTCTGGTGAGCTTCGAATGTGCATTGATTTCAGAATTATCAATTCTCTTTGCACTAAAAAGCTTAATACTCCCTTACCTCGTATAGATGAGTGCCTGGAACGTCTCGGTGGCGCTAAATACTTTGCTCAGTTCGATCTGACGAGCGGCTACCACCAAATTAGGCTGTCCAAGCAAGATATTCCCAAAACTTGTTTTGTTACACGCTATGGTGCTTTTGAATGGCTTGTGCTTCCTTTCGGACTCCGAAATTCTCCGTCGGTGTTTCAAAATATGATGAACAAGTGTCTCTCTGGCTACATTGATCGATTCGTCCAGCTCTACTTAGATGACATTTTGGTGTATTCACCAACTGCTGAATCGCATCTGGAACACATTCGTCTAGTTTTGGAAAGATTTAGGCAGTTCAAGTTGTATGCCAACCCAAAGAAATGTAAGTTCAATCAGCGTGAAGTGGAGTTCTTAGGCATGAAGGTCTCGGCAAAAGGCATTCTGCCTTCTGATTCGAAGGTTAAAGCGATCAAGGATTGGCCTGTTCCCACTAATGTGCAAGAGGTTCGTCAATTTGTTGGTTTGGCTTCCCATTACCGAAGGTTCATCCGTCAATTCTCGTCTGTGGCAGCCCCTCTAACTGAACTTACTAAGGGTACTGGTTCTAAACGTCGTGGCATTGTCTGGAGTCAGGAGTGTCAAAAAGCTTTTGATCGATTGAAATTCTTATTGACTCATGCTCCCTGTCTACAACCTCCTGATGTGACTAAACCATATATCATTGAGACAGATAGCTCTGACTTTGGTTGTGGTGCGGTACTTTTGCAAAAAGATGACCAAGGCGTTTTACATCCTTTGGCATTCGAATCTAAGAAATTTTCTATGGCTGAACGTAACTACCCTGCGCAAGAGAGGGAACTTCTTGGTGTTTTGCATGCTTTGCGGGTCTGGCGATGCTTCATTGATGGTGCTGACTACGTGGTATATACTGATCATAATCCGTTACAGTATCTAAGATCGCAATCTAAACCTACAGCTCGTTTGGTCCGTTGGTTATCAGAAATCGAGACTTACGCTCCTAAAATATTGTACAAACCTGGCAAAATCAATGAAGTCCCGGATGATCTTTCCCGTCGTGATGGTGCTGACTGTGTGGCCGCTAATACTAGTATGGAACCTCGTTATTTGTACTCTGTCGAGTCAAATATAATGGTACATCCGTCGGATTGGCCAACTTTCTATTTAACCAAACAGGAGTTAGTTCCCGATTCGGTGAAATCTCTACTCGAGTCCAACACTCACAGGTTTGTCATCAAAAATGAGAAGGTTTATCGCAAGGTGAAAATTGGTGAACGAGAGTTTGAAGCAAGGTTCTGTCCATTCTCAAACCGTGCTACCTTGGTGAACAGATTCCATGAAGGGTTTGGTCATGCTGGTCAAAGTACTGTGTTTGAGCTTATGCGCAAACGCTGGTGGTGGCCCAATATGCGATCTGATATTCAAGGCTGGTTATCTACTTGTAAGGAATGTCAGTTGGCTTCTAGTTCTGGTAAAAATAAGCATCATGCTCCAATGGTTTCTCTGGATATTCCTCCTGCTTTTGGTCGTTGGCACTTGGATTTTGTTGGTGAGTTACCTCTGACACCTCAAGGTAACAGATGGCTTCTTACTGCGGTTGATTACACTACGAATTGGCCTATTGCTCGTGCGGTACCGGAAGCCACAGCAGAAGCCGTTGCTGATTTCATCTACGAGGAAATCGTGATGCGTTTTGGATGCCCCCAGGAAATCTTGACAGATCGTGGTGCTAATTTTATGTCAAACGTGGTGAAACTCTACATGCATAGAGTCAAGGTTAATCACAAGTTTACTTCTGCTTTCCACCCTAGAACTAATGGTAAATGCGAACGTCTCAATGGTATTCTCAAGGCTATGTTAAGAAAATACGTTAACGGTGCTATTTTTATGTGGGATAAATTTGTTGACACGGCTCTCTTTGCTGCTCGGGTTCGTCATCATCGCTCTACTGGTTATTCTCCTTTTTATTTGGTATATGGTCGTGAACCACTGCTTCCTGGGGATTATACTCGTCCTTATTTCGATAAGTTGACAGCAAATGATCCTAGAACTGTGGCTGAACATACTGCTCGTGAATTGGAAAGTCTTGGTCAAGTCCGTGCTGCTTCTGCTCATCGTATGAAAATGGTCTCTGAATCCGACAAAGAACGTTGGGATGCGGCTATTGAGAAGCTGGAATTTGAAGTTGGTGATCATGTCCTGCTTAGAAACGAACAGAAATACGGTCTTGAATACAATTGGATGGGTCCCTTTATTGTCGTTGATAAAAACTCGGAAAGCCATGTCTACAAGTTGGTTACGATTGGTGGTGAACCTTACTCGTCTTGGGTACATGTTGATCGTTTAAAAGGTGTTAAGGCTGAATCCATTGATACTCCTTGGTACAATCCCACTGTGTCTCGTGCTGCTTGGCGTGAAGAAATGGGTCTCAACTCTAGTAATCAGGCTGTATCTTGTACTTCTCCTAGTTTCTCTGGTACTTCTGGCTCTGTCGATCAAGTTGATCAGAGTCGATCAACAATCTCGGGGGGGAATGATGTCGTGCCTAAATTTAGGTTTAAGCCAAATTTGAAGAAAGCGACTAAAAGGCGCCAGCGTATACTCGAAGGTTCTGGAAACTGATAGCAAGCATTGTTCTGATTATCAGTTGCTATATCAAGTACTATATCTACTCGAAAGTTCCATTGATTAAGTAATTATTGATCGCAGAAATAGTATAAATATAAGTTGTAAATGCATTCAATAAACAGCATCTTCGAACATAATCTCAATCTACTGTAGGGGGAAAAACTGTCCCGTTCGTTCAAATAATCTTGACTTTTACCCAGTATATTGCCAAAACTCAGAAAACAAAGCTACCCCATACTGCGTTCGATAGAACAGCTTATAAAGATTACAGCAACATAAAAACCTTATGGCTGGACTATATTTTAATCCCAGTATAACCAGCTAAAGTGAGACGTAGCAAAAATATTAGGTGGTGTAATGAAATAGCCACCCAAACGCAACTTAATTGAAAACCAAAGTTCATCAAATAGCACTCATTCAAACTCATGCTATTTGGATCTATTAATGAAAGCGCTCAAATGTACATCAAAAAACCCATTTAAAAATACTAAAGTAAAGATGCATGCTTATATCGCACATCGTGTGAATGAATCACTCCTGATCACAGTGTATTCAATCACACCCATGATGGTGGTGAATCCTCATCTCAAGTTACTTCTCATTTGTCTGCGTCGACATCATGTTCATCAGGTAATGCATCCTCCTCTGCTGCTGGTTCTAGCACGTTGAATTCCATCAAGAAATTGGTCTGGCGTCGGGATTCGTTTGTGCGTCTGTTGCTGGACATGGTCGAGGGAACTGATATGAACAATGAGCACGGTCAAAAGCATATTGAAGATATGCGATCCAAGATCGAGGACCTGAATCGTCTGATCTCCACTGTCAAACACTCAGCCAAGCTATCCGAATCTAATGTCACCGCATCACTCACTGGTGACAATGAGGGCATCTCATTGTCCAAGCAAGACCTACCTAAATTCCAACTTCGTTCGCATGCCACCAAGTACTTTCCCAACGAAATCTCCTATGATTCGATTCACCATTTTCTGCGCTCCTTTGAGAAGGTAATTTCGTCTTCAGGCAAGGCTGTCAAAAATGTATGGCGGCGATACATTCCACTCACGATTCCATACGACCTTGATCTCTGGTTGAATCAAGACCTGCTGACAGCAAAGTCGTGGTCCATGGCTAAGGAAAAATTCACGTCCAAGTTCAGTAATGCTGCTCTACGCTTGGATGCTCGTCGTGAAGTTCAAACCGCTACCATGCGATCTGGAGAAACTACGGAGGAGTACTACAACCGCTTCGCTCGGGCTATGATGGAGGCAGGCTACTTTTCTGAAGATACCACCCTTGGTGATACGTTCTTGCTTGGTTTCCCTAATGAATGGCAAATCCAAATCAACGCCGTTCTTGGTGTTCACTTTCCTGGATGTTCTAACTTCACCGCCAGCCAGACTGTTACCTGTGCCATGAACGTCCTCAACAGTCAAAAGTGTCCTGTTTCGTCTGTCAACGCAAAGAGACATGGTGGTTCTCGTGCTTCGTCCTCCTCATCCGGTTCATCTGGATTCTCTTCCTCTACTGCTGCTTCTTCTTCTGCTCCTCGTTACTACTGCTCAAACCATGGAGGCTCTCAGGCCAGACATCACGAGAAGGACTGTCGTCTGAACAAAGGTGGTTCTTCATCAAGACGTGTAGTTGAAAATGCAAACGTACCCAAGAAGGCCAGCGGAAACACTTTCTGCAAGTGATGTGGCAAAACTTGGTTCCACGGTCACTCTTGCCCTGAGTACCAAGCTATGAAGGGCTCGTTCAAGGTGTTGAGCGTGAGAAGAGAAAATAGCGGTCATCGACCCTATACAACTGGCTCCAGTAGTCAGAAACAAAAGCGTCATTCCCGTAATGGCAAAGGAAAGCAAAAGGACTCCGGGTCCAGCGAAAGTGACCGCTTCCGCGAGGCTATGGAAGACAAAGAATGTAAGTCTTCCACATCAAACAAAAACACTTTCAATTTAATAACACCATTGCTTCTCAATAACATTAGAATCATCGGAAAGGTGGATCCTGGTTCAGATGTTAGCATTATTAACAAATCCGTTTTGAATAAAAAATTCTCTACCGTCAAAAATATCAAAGCATTGGGTGGTTATTTAACCTTTTTGATATACATGAGCATGAACAAAGATGGTAGTGCATCTAAAGCTGAACGCATTGGAAGCACCGAACCCATCAAAGTAACTTATATGAATGGAATCACATTTGAACATTCCTTTGAAATCATTGACTTCAATGATTCCATGGCTGAAGAGTTTGATGTACTCCTAGGAGTCGACATCTTGCCTCGCCTCAACATCTATCTTAGTGGAGTAGCTCATTGCTTTCCTGACACCGAAAACGAAATTGCTCAATTCAAGAATATAAACTATGACACTGAAAACGTCTATAATCCAGAAAATGCTGATTATGGTACTTCTCAGAAACGTCGAATCCTTCTACAACAGATCGAACAATCTCTGAATGCCAACAAGAACATCCCTGCTGACGCAGTATGTTCCATGCCTGAAAGTGTAGTGCATGTTCCTATATCCAATCCCAAGGATTGCTTCATTCGCCAGTATCCATTATCCATCAACTCGCATGCCGAGATTGACAAGCAAATCAAAGAATGGCTTCAAAATAAGATTGTTGAACGCTGCAAACCCTCATCAGTGTTCCATTCACCTCTGATTACGGTGACAAAGAAGGATGAGAACGATCAACCCACCAAATTGAGAGTGTGTTGTGATCTTCGTCGCATCAATGCGTCCATTGATGACAATTACCATGAGAATTATGCGGTTCCCAAGGTTCACGAAATCTTTGAACGAGTGTCCTCTAGCGCACGCATAATAAGTAAAATTGACTTACACCAAGCATACTATTCATATGGTGTGCATGAAGCATCTCGCAATGCCCTTATATTCTCGCATAATAGCATTTTTTACAGATGGTGTAGGGCCCCTTTTGGCCTAAAATTTATGAGCTCTCTGTTCGTAAAATGCATGTCAATTTTATTCACTAGTTTATCCGACGAACTAAAATTCGAAATGGAAAAGAACATGGATTCTTCCCAAGTTGATCCAACCAAAGTATGGGGTGGCATTGAACACTACATAGATGACTGTGTCCTGCATAGTATCTGTGAGAAAAGCCACATCAAGCTTATCAATCTTGCCGTTAATCGCTTGACATCCGTCAACCTGCGCATCAATGTGAAAAAATGTTCATGGTTCCAGACATCAGTCTTTTTACTAGGCTTTGTGGTTGGACCTGGCCTACAAAAGATTGATATGCGTCGTTTATCTGACATAGACGAATGGCCCATTCCCAAAACTGCAAAACAAGTTCGCTCGCTTATGGGTGTCGTTTCCCATCTGCGAAACTTTTGTCCCATGCTGTCCAAGGTTGCTGAGCCCATCGATAGTCTTCAAAATGACAGTGACGTAAAAAAGAATTGGACACAATTGCATACTGATCGGTTCAATACCATCAAGCAAATACTGCTCTCAAACCAAATACTGCATGCTCCAGTGTTGGACGACAAAATGTTCCTCCAATGCGATGCTAGTCTCTATGGCATCGCTGCCTGTCTTTATCAAAAGGATAAACTGGGTAGAATCAAGCATATTGCATTTGTTAGCAGATCTCTCAATTCAGCTGAGCGCAACTGGTCTACAAACCGTAGAGAGTGTGCCGCTGTTGTCTTTGGATTCATCAAATTTAGATCGCTACTGTGGGGTCATAATGATATCGAGGTCCTGACCGATCATTTGGCATTGACCTACATGTTCACATCTACTTCACTAAACAGTACGCTCCAGAGCTACTTGGAAATCCTGGGAGAATTTCACTTCACAATTTCACATGTGAAAGGCATTGAAAATGTTCTCTGTGATGCTCTCTCAAGGGTATATCCAATAATCGATGAAGACAAATGGTTGGAAGATGAAAATAATCGACAGATGAGAAAACTGCATAAGCTCATTCTGATCAAAAGGGACACCAACAAAAAGATTGAAGTAAACCGTCAACGCACAGTCTATTCTCAAGACCGCAATCTCAACGTACTTGCTGTGAAACTAAATAGCAAAGAATTCCAGAATTCTACAACGGATTACATTGCTCCTCCAGAAGCAGGTCGGGCTCAAATCATCAAAGATGCACATAAAATAGGCCATTTTGGCATTGAGTCTGTGGTTCAACATATCCACACGTATTTGGGTTTACATTGGAACACCATCTACGCTGATTGCAAGGAAATACTTAAAGCATGTCCTGAATGTGCAAAGCACAACGTCGCTCGTCGAGGTTTCAACCCTGCTAAAAGCATCGTCAGCTTTGATGCCTTTGATCACATTGCTATGGATATCTTAGGTCCTATGTCGATCACCGATAAGGGAAATGTTTATGTGCTGGTTGTGATTGATCTCTGTACTCGCTACATTATAGCTCGTCCAATTCCTAACAAAAATGGCGCTACAGTCGCTCAAGCCATACTATCCATCTATGGTGATTATGGTGTTGCTATTAGCATCCAACAAGCTGACAATGGAAAGGAATTCAAATCCAATCTCATGGATCATTTCACTAAAACGCTTGGCATCAAGCAGCGACATTCTCTTCCTTACTACAAACAATCCAATGGTAGTGCTGAGAACGCTATCAAACAATTCGAGCATACGCTACGCAAAATGTGTGGTAATGACACGCATAACTGGGATGATCGCGTACCCATCGTCCAACTTGCACTCAACATGAAAGTCAAAGAGCGTACTGCCAGTACCCCATTCAGTCTCATGTTTGCTCGTCAGGTTAACGTCAATCCCAATCCAAATAAACTCAACCTCAATGGACGTCCTGCACTATCCATTCAAGAGCTCCAACAGCGTATCGAACACATGAATACCATCGTGTTTCCTGCTCTCCAAGAGCGTACACAACGGCTTGCTGAGGAATACAATAAGCGTATGGATAAACGTCGATACATCCTACCTGAACTAGCCTTTGACTCTCCTGTCATGGTCCGCCTTGAAGAAGGTCGTTCATCCAAACTCGCGCCTCTCTATGCTGGCCCATATTTCGTTGTCAAGCGTACTCAAGCTGGCAATTACATTCTAAAAGACGAAACCAATTCTCTCATGCATCGTGAATATACTCCTTCTGAACTCAAACCTGTCAACATTGATGAAACTACCATTGAAGACGAAATCTTTGAAGTTGAGGACATTCGCGATCATCGCTACCGCGATGATGATGAGATCGAATACCTAGTTAAATGGGCTGGTTGTTCTGAACGTGAAAATGAATACATTACAGCTGATCTGTTCTCCTCTCCCATTCCAATCAAAAAATACTGGGAAAAGGTCAAGCTCAACAAGGAACTGCAACATCAAAGACATGCACCACTACCTACAAACAAACGCCCCTCAAAACAGGCTGGTAACAAGCAAAAAGCAGGCACTGATCACACAAGCCGCGAAAACACTCGCCGCAAACATTAGTAGCTTCCAGCTTTCCTTCCTCCACTGCCTTCGGCACTTGTTTCTCTGCTCTTGCTTATATCTATGTCTTCCTTCCTTGTACATGTTCCAATCAAATCACTTTTGGTCGTCTAAATTCATATCTCTGTCAACTTTTTCCCACAAAAAGTTTGGCTGGGGGCAATGTAATGAAATAGCCACCCAAACGCAACTTAATTGAAAACCAAAGTTCATCAAATAGCACTCATTCAAATTCATGCTATTTGGATCTATTAATGAAAGCGCTCAAATGCACATCAAAAAACCCATTTAAAAATACTAAAGTAAAGATGCATGCTTATATCGCACATCGTGTGAATGAATCACTCCTGATCACAGTGTATTCAATCACACCCATGATGGTCGTAATAGGTGATGGTATCTTTATCCAAATAGAATTAAATTAATAACAAGCATATTCAAATATGACAACTATGTCCTGCTGCCATAGTTGCACAATATCCCAGATAAAGGATTCCATGCTTCAATAACAAACATCACACTTTAAACCATCAAGGTTACATTAAATCATGCTATGACGATAGCTCACCCAAGCCCATCAAGGTTACTCAAATCGACCCTTATGGCCAGTGCTCCTGCATTGATTACCACTTTAAACCAAACATCAACATTTGCCAGTTATCGCAATAGCAGCACCTATTGCTCTCTATCATCACTAATCCTACAAGCTAGATGCAAATGTATAAATACTCTTCTTTTTTTACTCAATTCCAGGATCTTCAGTTCATTTTATACACAAAATAAAATACAGTTGATTTCTATTGTATTTTACTATTGCTTTATTTTTTTGTGAAATCTATTTAAACCAGATTTCACTGCAGGTGGGTAATTCTAGATGATATAAAGTGGTTGATATCTTTACTTCCAATAAACACATCAAAGAAATCTAAAAAACTACCCGCGGTATGCTCAGGATATCTAATATCCCAGGAGCATTCTAAAAGTATAAAAGAAGCTAGTTTTTTATGTTTTTTTCTTTATTTCTTTGCTTTCTTATTTTTTTCAAAACTTTCATTATGCCTGCTCGTTTAACACAAGATTTGCGCAACACTCTCCAATCTTTGCTCCAACGTGGTCTTTTGTTCTCAAAGATAAGAAATTTGTATCCAGGAGTGGGTAACTCTACTCTTACAAGGCTCAGAAAACTATATTGCCCTGACCCAGCTAGACCT